TTCAAAAATTAAATTCATTATATGCCTTTTTTCTGCTTCTCTCAATGTTTGTCGGAGACATTCTGCACATTACTTGCAGTCACCTTCTTTCTCTCTATTCTTCAGTGATTTACCTTTGTATCACTTTCACATATCCTTCTCATCTTCTTTCCATTACTTTCAGACCTCCAGTCCCTCATAATAATCCCTTTAACTCTGAACTTCCTGTTGCATTTTACTACCTTGCTCTCCATTTTCCTCTTGCAATTTGTTTCCCTTTCCAAACATATCAATCACTTTTCATTTCTCATTCCAATCAACTTCACCATTCATACTGTAATTTCAAAGTTCAGTATCTACCTTACAGACACTTGTGCAGCAAGACTCACACCACAATTCACTTCCCCTCACTATCTGCTGATTATTATTGGTGATATTCATTTCAATATCCCATATTAATGACTTGCAACCATGAATCATTACTTCTGTCGACACATTCATATTATGTCTCTTAACTTTAGCTAAGCAACTTGTATGATACTGGAGGATAAATATAGAAGGATAAGAGACCCATACAGAACATATTGGCCATTGCTAAGAATAGGCATCCACAAACAAAAAAATTACATTCAAACGGGAGACTCTTGTATTGCTTACAAACACTGCACAAAAACATTAATCCAGCACTTTATACATGTCACAATTCAATACAATACATTACTGCCATCAAACATTCAAACAGAATGCTTCTACACAAGCCTTCCAGACCTCAGTTCAAGATCCACACAGATCAAGAACCTCACACACAACATGGCAACATTCCTGAAAACTAACCAGGCCTTCAATAGGATAGTATGCTGAAAAGTAACATTTCTTTTCTTTTACCAAACAGACTAATTGAATTACATCTTCATACTAGTGCCTCTAGACATTCCTCAATCACAGCTGTAAAAATGTTGCAGTATACAGAGATGTGAGTGCAATATAGTCTGTCCCGTGATCTACATCCTCACTGTGCAAATCTTTCCACTCGTCAACATTCACTGGCGATCATCCCCTCCACCATGCCTTCCACCACCACACATCACATGATGAAGTCAAGATGGTGGTAGAGATATCCTTCCATCCACAATATACAGACATCTGATTTACCACGCATTTCCAAATACCCCAGCACTCACAAAACTCTTTTGACTGCTGGTGATCATATTCACAATTGTGTTCAAATAGAACAGACATATAACAATACCATTATAAAAAAATATACATATCTTGATGGAAAATACTCTGATAGTTCATGTCCTCAGAAACTGCGATCACACCATTACAATAAGTATTACATGAGACTATCAATATTAACAGAAACTGGTAACACACACAATCCATATGCTCTGCCACTGAGGCAGCAAGTAGAACAGAAATTCATGCAATTATAACAACAGTCAATCAGTGAACTCTTCTGGCCTTAACAAAAATCAATTAAATATCTAATATGCGGGACAGTCTTTTCATAACTGACAAATTGACAATGATTTTGAGAATGTCCCATTATGTCATTTGGCGACAAACATGTCCATGGCATGTTGGAATTGTAAAGATGTATTGTTGTTTGTAAAGCTTGTGACATGTTTCATATTCAGTGCAGATTGAAACGCAGATGTATGTATGTATGTACATATTTCTGTCTACAGGTATGTCAAAATATTTTCCAAACAGCAATAACAAAATTAGAATCCACATACAAGTTCATGGCACTTTACAAGACCTATCAAACAATGAGAGCCAGCCAGCAGCACGTACATCAAAATAAGCAATACAATGTCAAGTACAAGTTCTGGCATTGCACTTAACATATCGCAACGTGAAAGCATTCAACCCTTCCTTCACCACAGTAATAATCACCATAAGATGTCCTTATCAGTATCCACACAACCACATAATGGGTGCCAAGACATCTTTTTCAACATGTCAGATCTATATCCAATCTGTTCTCCTAAAATGGGACTACTTCTATTACATTACTCTGACCTTGACTCTAGCAAAAGAAATGCTCGCTATGTGACTCCTATGAATGGTGAGGTATAGTGCAGAGTGGACCTCATACAAACCAATAAGCTAAATTCATAAAGCTTATTGCAGTAATTATACACACCTTGACCCTTTCTGTTCTATGGACATACATGTATGTTCCTTGACATGTTAGCTCAGGTTAGTTTTGTTAGTTTCCGTTACAAGTTACATTAGGGAGGTTACATTAAGTTAGAGTACATTCTGTTATAAGTTAAGTTACAGGTGTACATATACGTCCTTTAAGTCATATTTTGTCTCAAGCTGTCCAAAAACTTGGACCACACTGGGTTAATGGCATATACTTCTGCCCTCAATACTCACATATTGCACTAGGCTGAAATCGGTTTCTTCCTTTGCCCTCTAAATGAACCCCCACCCCATGACTTCTGTACCAATTTTTCTTTTGGACAAAATAAATCAAAATTTCTTCCATATAATTCAAACACAGGTCATTCATTTAGACCAACTCACTCTTCAAGCATCATAATAATGATACCTAAGGGGATATTAATCTATATTTATCAGACATACATTTCTAAGGCTAGTTGCAAGACCGGTATCTTGTGGCGGAGAACAATGCTGTAGTTTACCCATCACATTGTCTGTAGTGCTGGCAGATGAACCTCTTAGACAACTGCTGCACTTCTTCCAGACTTCCCATGACATATGACTCAACAGAGAGGCATGTTTCTGTGATTGGTGATGGTTACAATGGCGTACAGATGCAGGTCTGCATACAGTGAATCTCCTATTCAAGGTCCTATTCAAGAAGTTGATTCTTGTGTGCATGTTATTTAACAATGAGGTTACTGACACATCACCAAAACCGAATGTTACCCGAGGTTAATCTTGCATCAAGGAGCACTGATGAGGGTTTCACTGTATTTCAGTTTCCTGCACATTGTTCCCTCTCAGGTCTTGGATCATCTCTTTATAAGCCTGCTGAAAACAGTCGTCTTCCCCCTAAAGTTTCTTTTAACTCTGCAAGATCTTCCTGTGCACATGTCCAATGAACATGGAAGACCGCCAATCACTTCGCCCCCTCATGGATGTGGAGACACAGCTCATTTTCAAACAAGACACTGCTGCACCCTCATCTCGCCAGTCTACAGCAAAGAGTAAAATTACTTGGTAAAAGCTAATTATACAGTTTCACTATTGTATTTAAGATATTATCAATCTCCACCCAGCATAATTCTCATTTGCACAGTTACTGATGTAGGTCAGGAGCTGGGTTTGAAACCCTGACATTTTTAATGTTTCAATGAATATGCTCCTATAAGTTTACCACCCAAAAATCCATCAGCATCTTGATGTTCCCTCCAGACCCAAAGGAATGACATACACCAGCCCTGTGAACGCACAAAGTAACAGTTCAATAAAGGCCACCAATTTTATCTTCACTGTGGACCAGAATTCTGAATGCACATGGCAAAACATTACCATCCCATTAAGATCTTTCATCTCTCAGCAAAATATGTTTCTTACAACACTAGAGATAAGACATGAATAACAGTGACCAAAATTATAAACCACAAATAATGGATGATGAACGGCTTGAACTTTAACTTGCAGCTAGTGCCACTGTGTGATCATGTGACGCAAAGTCCTTAAAGTGAACTGCCCTTTCCAAAAGTTGCACGCATCTCACTGCTTCACTCCTCGCTCGGTTTATGACCCTCCCCACAAACCTGTCACTCTACACGCAATTACTTCAGTTTCTAGACATGCAAGAACAAGCCTCCTGATTGCCCACTCTTCAAGGGGGAATCCTTCACCATATGTTAGATTCACAATTTCTACACTAAGAACACAGATACATTTTGGTTTCACTTTTATCACTTTGTATGTCACTAGTAGCACAAACTCTCTTATCTATTCCTAGACACTCTGCGAGCTCACGGTGAAGTCTTCTGGGTTGTGACACTTTCTACTCATGTTGGTAGATATGTAGCTTTTGGAGGAGCGTGGTTATCTCCACAGGTGTGGTACAGTTCTGAGCATTTGTCTGCATGCATGAATTGCTTTCTGCTGCAAGACTTGCACAAAGCCATTGTCTCTTTCCACAGTTTCTTCCCTTTGCACATGACACTGACCACTGCCCTCTTTCCTTCATGTCACTGAACTGAAGCTCACCTTTTAACCTTTCTTCACGTGGGGCACTGGACAGTCTGCCTTGCTCAGCCTCCATTGATGACACTTCTTTAATGCACTTGGGATTCAACAACACTTCGCTTAACTTCTCAGTTACAGTCTGCCTCTGTATCCTTCCAGCATCAAAACATGCATCAGGAACGAATTCACTACACTTGCTGTCACAAGCCAGATGAATACTCCCTGTGCCTATGCTCTCTCCTCATAAACTGACAGGAGGTCATGTACTAGCCATTGTGGTTTACTCCTCCCATATTTTTAGTGTACTTTACACATTTGCTTTCATTGTGGCAACTTTAGTTCCTTACTTAAGGCTTCACTTCTGTCATCTTATTGGTGCTTCCTATGTGAATAGTACTGAACACCATAACCAAACATTTGCTCCTCCATGCAACACAAAATTTCTCCTCGTTTCTGAATGAAGAAATTTCCTTGCCACATTTCCCCCACTTTGCTGCTTTTTAATATCTTCAAGCATTTGAAGCCCTGGATGTCATTATTATGCATGTTATTACCATGACCATACTCAAGAGCTCTTGGGCCAAATGGTGACATACGACACATGCCCATTTAGACTTGACGTCCAGAAAGTGGGTTCACAACACATGTGATGAGAGTAGAATACAACTCACTCACTATTCATGTGGCTTTGAAGAAAATAAACTCAATTTCCTATTTTATCACTGTATGCCCTAGAATTATATACCTAACCGTTACTACTGTCAGACAACACAGGGATTTTCAATACAAATTTCACTTATTTCATAGAGCCATAAGTCTGAAAAAATTTCCTTGCCCTGAATGACATTCTGCCTTCATCAGCAGTTGCAGCTGTACTGGTTGTCACAAACTGGGGGTGACCACATTCTTTCCAGTGTTAGTGTGACTATGTTTTCCTCCTTCATTTGGCCACCTCCCTCAGATCGTACAATGTCCAGGTTCCAGAACAGGAGCCGAAACTCATCCCTCTGGCTACATGCCTGAAAAGACTGGCATTTTACATATATACATATACTTGTACATTTCATTAATCCAACATTAGCCCATACACATGTGAATATGAAACACGTTAGGAGACGTACATTGTACAATGTAACTTGAGCAAGAGAGAAATTAAACAATAATATATACATAATATATAAATGACAAAGTATGTACAGAATTTAGTATAATAAAATATGAGTATCACTGCTTAAGTAGACAACAGAAAAGGCTTCAAAAGCTAAACATCCTTTTATAAAAAGAATTAATAATTTTGTGGGAACTGCCCACATTCAAGCAAGTGTGACAACGCAAACGTCATTGCTTAGCAACGACGATATAAACTTTTCTGTAGAATAAAAGACATGTGCTAGATGATAATTCCTTAAAGCAGACTTAAAAAATTGCTCAACATTTTTTAATCTAGATATACCAGGTGGCAATTACTGAATACTTTAATAGCAGAAAATATAATACCTCTCTGGATAGCAGAAAGTCTACCTAATCGTATGTGTAATTGATTCTTACATCTTGTATTAATGTCACGAACAGGAGAGTTACTTTTAAGGCAAAAAAACATTAATAAACAAATATATACAAACTTGAAATAGGTAAAATCTCCAATTTTCTGCAGGAACTCTGTCAACTTAATCTCAACATAATTCTTAACACCTTTTTTTTTTAATTAGGAATACCTTACGCATAGAACTAGTGAACTAGTGTTACCCCAAAATACTATTCCATAATTAACCAGAAGGTGAAAATGTGCAAAATAAACAGTCATCAAGGTTTGGATATTAAGAACTGGAGATAATCTTCTCATTATAAAACTAACCGAATTCAGGTTATTCAATACAAAACTTATATGAGGCTTCCATGAATGTTGACTGTCCAGTTATAAGCCTAAAATTTTTCTTCAACCCTGTCTGAGAGAAGCAATCTGTAAAATTATCATAGACATCGATTCTAAGACCATGGTTATAACACCACTGGATACTGCTTCAGTATGAGAGTTGAAGGTAACCAGGAGCATCATTTTGTAGCCCCCCCCCCAAAATGATACATGCATTGGCACTGTGAACATACTAGTATATGAGTATAAAGTAATGTTTCAACAAACATTTACAATAAAATGTTCACTGCAGACCCAAAATAAGGAACACAGATTAGCATTGTGAACAGTGGAAGAAACAACATTTAAAGGCTTAAAACACAATGTTCACTGAACACCATTAAAAAGATTCATCCACTAGCACTGTAAACAGAAGAAGCAAAAATTAAACAAAGGCTTACAATAGTACGATTGTTTAGAACCAGCACTCCTATGTATTACACAACACCGTTACACAAGGCTTACGCTACAATGCCAAGAGTTCTGGGCACATCTCATGAAGTCCATTCCCGTCACTGTATTGTTCAGGCATTATTTCAATAATGTGAATTTGTAACTGAAACAAAAACACATGAATAAGAGGAATGCACGAACGGCCAATTTCAAGGTAAATATTATGGCGCCTTTCACAGGAGAGATGGAGGAAAACTAGGCTGAGACAACCGGGGCTCAAGCGAGGTTCTGTAAGTTAGCTGCATATCATTCATTCTTGGTTGGGATGCAAGCAATGTGGCACAAGTAATTTCACGGGATGGCGTGCTTCTTGGGAAACTAGTTGCCCAGAAAATCAAGAAATAATTCGTATTTCATGCAACCCAGAAGCTCACTGACCTATTCTCAACACCCCACCCCCGTCCCAGCCAGTTGAATCCAGTCCACCCTCATTTTAAGATCAATGTAACCATTATCCACTCGTTTGCTTCCAAGTCTCTGGGGCTTCATGTTTATCAGTTAAAATGTTCTACGAATTTCTCGCATCATCTCTGCATCTTACACACCCCCGCTTGTTTGCTTATCCTAATAATGTTAAAAGAATATGAATTAATGTCACGATTTATGTGTGACTATAGACGGGATATGGATTTATGGACCACTTATACACACCACTCGGAACTAGAAGTATATACAATGCAGTCGCTGTTTTCCACACATACAAATCACTGCATTTTCTTAACAATGGAGATTCTTCAGCTTCTGTGGTCACGCCGTTGCCCGCTGGCTAGTACTCGACACAGCTGAACTGTCAACTTCATCAGAGCCATCTCTTCTGAGCCTCTCTTGCAAAATTCAACTCTCGTTGCCACGGGAACGTGTTTACCAATCCGGTGCTTAGAAATGGGTTGCATAATACCGTTGTTTATTCGTCTGTCTCGCAGTCATTGCATAGCAACGGTTGTACACGCTACATTAAGAAGCTTCCCTCATGCGCCTGTCTCCAGCATCCCACTACGGGCACTTCCCTTCTCTCAGCTCCAGATATCTTAGCACTATGTTTCCATATTGCATCGGAGGGTCGCGGGTTCAAGTCCCGATGAGGTCATTGGATTTTTTTCAATTGAACGAATCATTCCAGCCGCACTAGGCCCTGTGGTTTACTCAGCCTCTAACAGAAATGAATACCAGGAATTAATTAAATAATTTTCCTTGGGAGTAAAGCGCAGCCGGTGCGTAAGGCTGACAACCTTACCGCCATCTTTGAGGCGATTGGTTAGATAGTGTGGGACTCCCAACGTCTCATAACCCTATAGGCCTTCACNGAGTTGTTTTTTTTTTTTTTTTTTTTTTTTTTTTTTGTACAAGCAGTTCAGTGAATTCCTTCTGGATCTTCGTACTGAGAGATGTTCGTTTTTTGAGGCGATGAAAACGCATCCCTATTTCAGTTCCTTCTTGAGAGGTTCATTCAACCTCAGCCCCTCGGCTTTGTCTTTACACACGAAACGGTGACACAACGAAAGGATAGCAAACGACAGCGACCATAAGGTAATATATTGTCAGTGACACGGGTATCTCCTTTGTTTAAAATGCAATATTATAGTAAAGTAAGTTGATGTGCGATTATAAAGTTAGCTTCTATCAAACTAAGCGTAATAAGGGTACAGATATGCGGGATGTTTCCAGTCAGCAGTGAAGGTTCTGTGGCCTTAATTCAGGAAAACAGTTACTTAGCTTAAGGACCGAGGAGAGCCAAGCCTTTCGACTTAGCACCGTAAGCTCATCATGACTGCCAAAGCCAGGCCGTATGGAAGCTCACCTACCCGCAGCCACAATGAGAGGCATGGCATGAAGTGAGGTTATGTGTGACGAGAAGGCAGCCCCGTGAAGCTGTCTCGAAAACATAACGCAAGAATGGCCCCTCTCCTCCTCCGAGCTCAGCACAAACTGAACCCACCAGCAGTCATGGATATGTTAAGCCTTTTGGTAACCTTCTCATCACTGTGGGACAGTTCATTGCAGCGTGCAGCATACAGATGTGTCCTTTGCCTTCTTGCACCCATCAGTAGCCAGGTGTTAATTAACTACAGAGAAAAGTTCGCTATTTATGAATTTCACATAGTCAGTCTTCCTGAGGAACAGACCCTCAGGTTCCTGTAGAAAGAAAGTTCCCCACCATGCAAGGATCCTGAAGGTTCATTACTGTACAAACAGAAGTCCGTCACAGGATCCTGTCTTGAGTGAACAGAACAGAATTCACGTCGTCACACCCTACTTCTGTAATTTGCATTTTAATATTATCCTCTCATCCACTAGACCTCACACGTCTCCTTTCCTTCAGATATTCGAATTAATGAAAGCTACAAACCCCGCCAATATCGGATTCCTTCAATTCATCACACTAGTAATATTTGGTGAAGAGAAATTATGAAGCTCCTCGTTATGCATTTTTCTCCAGCCTACCTTCTTCCCTTGAAGTCCAAATATGCTCCTCATCACCCTGTTCTGCCCCTATAGCGAGAGCCCAATCCTCACCATCACACAAAACAACAGGCTCAATAACAGTTTTCTATAGCAAATTGTAAAATAAATGATTCTGAAGTATTTATATTTTCGACAGAGAAGTTAATATCATCAACGCAAATCAAAATGTGGTGTGTCTCATTCAACTCTAATCCCTCCTTAATTGTCTCGACATTTCTAAGGGCATATCTGAAGCAAAATTCAAATATATCGGTGACAAATATGATTTTCTCACACATTACTCTTAAAAGGGAATTCACAAGGCAAATATTTACCTGTAAGAACCTCACAGCAGCTTTAGTGTAAACGCATTTTAATTAGCCTAACAACTTTCATGAGTTCCTGCCAATCCAATGAGGCAATTGTTCTCCCTACTTGAGCCATAGGCTTTAGGACTCTCCACGTGTAGGCCCCGCTGTTCTTTCACCTCTTCCAGTAAATGATGAATGCACAATGTCATCATATTTGATTTATGTAACTGATACCCACACTTGTAATCCCTGATAATTGCGTCTGTCTGCCGATTTGACACTGATAATATACATATCAGATGAAATGTAGTATGAAGTTCAGAACAATGACATTGCTTGATAACCATTGTAATTAGTTTTATCGCCTTTGTACATACTTGTGTAAAGGCGCGTCCACATTACTCGTGCTCGCCAGGCTTGTGCTCGTCGGGAGACTCGTCCACACTGCTTCAGTTGCTCGCCAGTCTTCGGCGCGTGGGGATCCGTAGTGTGTATGGGGCATAAGCTGTAGTCGTATTTTAATTTATTGGCTATAGTTTTTAAATTAAAAATATAAAATCGGCTTGTCTCGTGACTTGTCATATCGTCCACATTACTCGCGAGCATAGCGAGTCACACGAGCACGAGCACGAGTAATGTGGACGAGCCTTAATAACAGATGCGTTCCACTGCAGCAGCAAGTCTTCCTCACACCAGCATTCTGTAGATTTCAGGATGTGACTTTTACACATCTTTTGTTTCAGTTTGGGTAACATCTGGCGATTATATTCTGTCACCATTTCATTTGGAGTTAAACTATAAGGAACTTACTCTCAAGTACCTTTGGCTTAGTTGTATGTATTTGTTATGCCTAACATCGATAAAACCATGTAAGCTTACATTTAATAGCTAGTGAAGTAAATTTTACACCTATTCATAATATTATGTGAATGTGTAAATAGATTTCCATTATAATATTTATCATGTAAACTCGGCGTTAGTCCTTTAGTCCTTTAGTCTCTATAAAATTCGCTAATATTCTTGTTCTTACTGTATGTTTCGTACATACTAAGACTGGATTTCAAATATTCCCTTGACTTTTTCTAAATATTCTGCTTGCACAACGGCCTACATTTCTTAAATTATCTCCATTACATTGGCTTGAATTCTCTAAATATTGCAACCAGGTTTGCTTTCTCTGATATAATAATATTGAGCAGTTTTTGTAAAACAATATTTTTTACTGCTGCAGCTCGTAACAATCTAGATTCTCATTTCTGAACTTTTTATATTTCCTTTCACAAGTTGTAATTAAGTCTGCATTAACACATTCAATAGTTGAGGAAACATTTGAGATTTAAGAAATATATATATTTAATCTGAACATCTTTCAACTTCCTGGCTTTGTATTTTTCTGTGGCAAACGTTTCGTTGACCTGTGGCTACAGAGTGATCAGTATCACGGCCAGTTCCACTCTGATCGGACGTCTGTTGCTATTAAAGTGTCGTCAATATCACAGCGCGTCCTTTCAGTAGCAGAAGTCTAGGAACAATTTTAAATGTTATTAAACAGAAATGTTTTATATATGACAGTTAGGTTTCTAAAGGGCCGCGCCATAGTTCAAGCGGTTAGTCGCTGGCTTCCCACAGCGGCGACCCGGGTTCGATCCCGGGTCTGGTCAAGTGGGATTTGTGGTGGACAAAGTGGCGCTGGGGCAGGTTTTCTCCGAGTACTTCGGTTTCCCCTGCCAATCTTCATTCCACCAATTGCTCCACAATCACCCTCACCTATCATCTGGGGCTGGTACAATAGGCCACTTTCATTCTAAATTTTTTATTTGGACATGTATTTCCTCCTTACTTCTAAATTAAAACAGCGCAAAGAACCATGAATTTGGTGCTTGGGGAATTCACATACGCTCAATTTTCTCTTAAAAATATATCTTGTGTCATTTATGTCCTCAGCTATACGACGAAGTTTCAGAAAATAATACGAGTATCGTACCAATGAAATATTAGTATTACATATGATATTTTGTCATTAAGAAGTTCTGCCACTTGACATATATTTCCTTACGTGCAAAAAATATGTCCCTGATATCCATTCCCACTGAAAGAAATGTAATGATTTGTTTGCGAAGAATCACACTTGTCCCATCTGACCTCCTCCACACTGAGAACATCTAAATTATGTATTTATACTTCGCTAATTTTCTGCTGCTCTTTCTAATGGCTCTGAATTGATAATCCAAAATTCCAGGTCTCATTTACATTTTCTATTGCCTAGGTAGTTCCAAAGGATGGGACAAAGTAAGAAGCTCTATAGAGTACGCAGTAGGCTTCTAGAGGAGGGTGTACTGGGCCATCGCCCAACCTCCAGGCTGGAGGATCACCCCTTTCGACCTTACCGCTGCTGCTTGCGCAGTCCTTCCGCTGCCACGCTTCATATCTGGAGGCAGCCTCCCTTATCCGCCAACTTCAGGACGACCAATGACATGGTGACACTCAAGCCCACTCAGTCTCGGGCCTCGAAGTCCGGTTAAGCAACATGTCTTTGAAAAATACGAAGCTTTGGTTGCGCCTGTCAACATCAACGTGAAAGAAGCATCATATTGTCAAGCGCTGAATTAGTACAGACGGAGTTTGGATTGGTAATTGGACGTACTGGAAACTCACAACTCAAACTACAAGAAACTACAACTCTGCACAAATCACTTCAACCCACTTAGCTTGTTACTAGTCATTGCTTGGTCACAGCCTTCTAACAAGGGCTATTTCTCAACCCCTTACGGCTCAAGAACTGCACTTCCTAACCGTCAAATCAAGACTATCTCTTCTGTCGGTGGTTTCCTAGTCCCGACTCAGCATTTTCTTTCTCAGACAGATTCGTAAGTCAAAGTCACATTATGACCGTCGGTCTGTGACCAACCAATTCATGCCTTAGACCGCGCGCCCACCATGATCTACCCTGATAATATTATTACCAGAAAATTAAATCATAAAAATCTTAAAGTGAATCGTTCATATGATGAACGGTTTTCATATCTGATTCGTATGTGTGCTAATAGGATTAGTAACGAAAATTTCAGTACAAAGTTCAACACATGAGTAATTATCCTTTAACTTCTTATGTATCCCCACTATTCTATAAACGAGGTTAAGTGAGAATTACTTTAACTTTATCAACAGTACTTGTTTACAGTATCTTATCTACTGCTCATTAGGAATTAAATACAGGCTATGTAATCTTGCGCCGACACTGATCCAATGAGAAGTAAAAATGTACTGTCACGATTTATGGGCGTGACTAATAAATGGGGTATGGAGTGGATGATTGGGTTTACTGGCTCTTTCATTTACAATCACCATTAACTGCAATCAAGTACAACAGCTCACAAACAATAACTGCCTAAGACTCGCTCCATTCTAACTGGACTATGACTGTCTTCTCTATTACTGTGACTGACTTAGTTCTGATTTACGATCCTATACTGGCCCTGGCCCATCTCCACGGACCCTTCCTCTCTTCTCTCCATTGATTTCCCATGTGACCCACTCTCCCTCCCTTTCAGTCCTTATACAGTATAGTTGGGCGTTTTCGACTGGTGACTCAGTCTGCAGCCATCTGCTCACGCTGGTTTTCTATCCTGAAGACTTAGACGATATGTACCTCCGAAACGTCGGTTCACACAATATTTACATGGAGCCACATTCCAATAGACGGCATTCTGCATAGTTACCGCCGTGAAAACCTCAAATCTAAAAATTTTTAGAATTATTAGGCCATTTGCACAAAATATGCCTGCATCTTGGATTTCCTTATCTGGTCAAGTGCAGGTTTTTCCAAAGGAAGCTGAAATCAGCCAGCACTTGAACAGCCTCTCAAAACAGTTTTATATTGCCCGACTCCTTATCTATGTAGAATACGTGGGGGGGTGTCTGAAGAATACCCGATAATGAGTCCGTAAAAGATAAAGAGGAAAATAAAAGACGATTGATGTGGCAGCAGAGGGCTCAAGACATTTAGATTTTCATCGAGATGTGGACTGCAATATCATTAATAATTTTGCTAACATGGGCAGTGAACCCTGGGCGGGCTAAATTGGTTCGATCACCTTATCTCCTGAGATACAGTAATGTCGAGTGGGATCCTATCCCTGTTGAAGAAGACGTGGGTTCCAGACTGATCCTTACACCATACATTGAGAATGGTAAAATTGAGGAAGCACGTGCTTTGTCCGCTGTCAGTGGTGGACCAATTCCTGAAGATATTCCTAGTCATTCTGGATTCTTCACCGTGAACAAGCAGTACAACTCCAGTCTGTTCTTCTGGTTCTTCCCAGCCGAAGTAAGTAACTCTCTCCACGTTAATTTTTATAAAGTTCATAAATTATTATATGAAATTACAGCATCTTTTTGTGAGTCTGATGTGTAGTAGGAACATGTCTGTTGTGTAGAACTATAGCAGTTTCTTCTCCACTCAAGACAAACTTCCACAGCTATAATTTGAAACCAGTTTCTTTTGCAATTTCTTTCGGTGATAGATTCTATGTCTGAATACTGTTCATTTTTGTTTAACTGTATAATATTCACTTCTGTGCCCTAACATGGAGGACACATGATCGATTAGCGTCCAGTTCGTGCAAAGCAACCCAAAATTTGAGACTTATTTCTTGGTTCATCTAAAGACATACTTTTAATTGCTTATGCTTACAGCATGGATCGGGAGACACTGAAGAAAGCGATCGTGGTCCACTTTAAAGTAGCCCATGACCGCACTATTCCAATATTATCATGAAAAAACTGAAGATAATCAGGATAGCCGGGTTCGAAGCTGACAGTCTAACCTACGGCTTCCGGAACGCCAAGCAGAAATGTTAATAGACCGAGCGCTGCTTGCGACGGCTCCGTAGCTCCTGCGCATTATGCAGTGAGTTTCTTGCGGGGCTTAGGAGGGAGGAATCGAACGTTACTCCTGTTAGTTCGGCCCAATCCTTTAAGCACAGGTACCTTACGCGACTTCATTGCCTAGACAGATCACTAACTGTATGTGGAGTAAACTGGTTTTAAAAGAACTTAATATTTTTATCAATTTCTACTACGATTATTTGTTTATTAGAAGAGAAATTTAATCGAGTGTATGAAAAATGAAAGCAGTGCTATCCAGTAGGTGTAATAATTTTAGACTAGTAGTTGCAGAGAAAGTGCCTTACGGAGCATTTCAAGTGTTTCGGTAGTGGATTTACCGAGCCTCACACAAAACTTGATGCTGCAGACATACTGCTCGATTTTGCCATCCATCGCAGGCAAAACGAAACACGAAGTCGAAAAAGCACTCGTGTGAAAACAATGCATGTTCATAGGTCGGTGTCACGTTGCAGACTGATGCAATAGGCTTGTGGAAGTGTGACCTCGGCCTCTCCTCTTATCCTCTTTCACAGAGGCACTTACAATAATATATTGCGATAGCACGTCGTATTGAGAAGCGACTGTCCACCTGCCGCTACTGTTAATTAATTATGCACATGTAACATACGAGTACAACCAGATGAATTACAAAGCGTTCTACATCAAACTCCAGCGATCTACTTCGCTAGTGCAGATGCCATTTAAAATGTAGAATACTCTCCCCGTCAAGTCGGCTCGACCGAAAAGTGTAAGTTCTCCTGAGTGTTGCGCTGTCTAGAAAATTCACTGTACAGTGCTGTCTACCTCAACACGTTCAGAACGGCTCTGATTGTGAGTTCTGTCATGCCAATTCTAAAGGCTAACCAGCACCCCTTCTTTAGGGTAAAGTTCATTAGAAATCGCTGCTACCAGGAGCTCCAGAGCAGCCGATGCGTAGTCAAGAAATGCCGTGCGGTTGGGGACCTCTGAGATCCATAGGGGTCACAACAGGCGGAAGTTTATTACGCCCTAAGAATAAATTCGTTGGACAATCTGAGGCTTCACAATGATCACTGTTCTTCGTAGCGTTTCCTTCGCACAACTACTTACAGCGGAATAAATATAAAATTGTGGTCTGGGATGAAGCCTTCTGTTTTAGAAATCCATGCTGGTACTAATAACTTACCAAATTTAAGTTAAAAGAACGTGTAAAACAATGTATGATGATTATACTGCAGGAGCTCTGGCGTTTAGAAGTCTCGTCTGTTCTCTTCCCTACAGCAAGGCTATGAGACGGCGCCTCTGCTAGTGTGGCTCCAGGGAGGACCAGGATCTACCTCATTGTACGGCCTTTTCACCGAGCTCGGACCCTTCTTCGTAGGAGAGGACCATAAGTCGCTCGTCAAGAATCCGTACTCATGGCACAAGAATCATTCAATCATTTTCATAGACAATCCCGTCGGAACAGGTACCAAATTTACATAATTTTTGTCAACAAATATTGCTTTTATGTACGTCAGTAGGCCTATATTTAAGGAAGGTGAAGTGTATCATTTATGGGCCGGATTATCTCAGTCAGTATAGTGATTAGCTCGGGCTATTTGCCTCAAGTTAAATTCCCAGCAAGGGCAGGCCAAGTCCAGAGGAAGTCGGGGTCACCACAGTCTCCTATCCAGGGAGAACAGGGCCCCCTCGCTCTAGAAACAGCAGCGGAATGAGAAGTCGCCACTCATCTGTTGTAGAACTGTGTGAAGTTTTGGCTTCACATCCGCACACGTGTTCACGGCGTGGTTTCGAAACAGAGGTGTTTCCTTGCAATATCATGCAACGCCTCCCTGTAACAACTGTGAAAAGATGTCCCCTTATTTTCGAAAGGATAAGACATGGATTTCTATGCAGAAAAAATTTCCTTAAACTTCATAAACAGACCGAAAGTCGTAGGCAAATAGAAGTTTACTTCATGATTCGTTGTTGAAACATGCGCTTCTTGTAAGTGTATTGTGTTGTTAATTTGAGATGTGCTTTCTGTTTTCAGGATTCAGTTTCACAGACCAGCAAGATGGCTATGCAAAGGAACAAGTACAAGTTGGAGCTGAATTATACTCAGCTATTCTTCAGTTTCTGACAGTGTTTCCGGAGCTGCAAGCAGTTCCCTTCTTCATAACGGGGGAATCGTACGCAGGTTAGGTTAAGTACGAATTTCAACCTAGTCCAGTCAGATAATTCTGACTCTGTAATAAAATACTTCGCTGTAGTATGAGCTGTTTCATGCGCTCACGATTTGGAAGTTATACTTTAATGAACAGCAGATCTCGTGCGGGATTTGAGATTCTTACAGTGTTGGTTATGAACGAGTCTATCTTCCGGGATGTTATGTCGTACAGTTTGATCAAAATTCTGAGAAACATGCCGCTCCGTCTTCAGACTGTTGGATCAAACCAAGCAAGGAAGCAGTAAGAAGCAGGAAGCAAATCAAATAAACATAATTAATGTCAATTGCACACACAATAATGGTACCACGTCACAAATGTTAATTATAAAATAGCCGTTGAAAACGACGGACAAACTTCTTCCTGGGTTCTCATTGCTGTACTATGGCTAACCACTTCAATTTCGTGTCATAAATTCTTAAAATGACATTACACCCATACCCAGGCTGTAATATTGACAGAAATATGAATTGTTCCGTCAACTGTCAAGACGGTGGGACGTACAACACGCATGGGGCCGATACGATTTTCGTGACGAATGTCAGTGGCAAGGCTGAGGGAAGAGATCACTTGGGTTATATAGGCGAAAATGGGAGACTACTGTTTGGTTAAATCTTACAGAAATGGGGCATGAGAATTGGGGTTGCACTCTTTTGTCTCAGAATAGGACCCAGTGACGGGCTCTTGCGAACATGATAATAAACTTGAGGATTTCGTAAAATGCGGAGAATTTCAGTATTTAGGAAGTTTCAGTTTAGGAACAAGCACTCTGCTCCAATGAATTACTTGTATGATCGATTTCCCAATGTTTTACAACCGAAACTATCGCATAGCAGGGTCACTCAGGCAGCAGCACTCAGGCAAGTGCATCTAAATTTGCACTTACGGCTTTGTCTTTTGGGCATGCTGAACTGCACGAAAAAAAAATCTAAATGTAATGAGAGAAATGTCAAATATTTTTTTTTTCAGAAAGTGTGTCAGTATGCCAACATGAATGTATGTATGAGGGGTGAACCATAATAATCCGGCCCTCGCACTGCGACCTTCCATGATATATTTTGCTTCCCCTATGATTAACCCTTTATCACTCCTACACTTCGAATGACATGTAGGATTTGTCATAATAGTCACTTCTTTCCATAATCTCGGCCCAGGTGACGAAATCTTAAGTAAGCTATGGCCTCACAATCATATAGGGTATGTGTGGCTGATTCGTCTTCTTGTAGGCACCGTTCACAGGTGGGGCCCTCTGTCAACCCCAGTTTGAAAAGGTGTCCTTTTAGGTGACAGTGTCCTCTAAATAGTCCTACCGCTCATTTTAATTGGTCTCTGTTTAATTTTAACAGATCCTTCGTTCTTCTAGCAGAGGATCCTAATATAAGTTCCTTTGCCTGCCTGAGTCCAGTTATGGATTCCCAAAGTATTTTTGTGATTTCTGTTAGTCCAGTCCCTGATCACTTTCTTGGCAACTCCAATTGAGATACCGCAAGCTGGTTCAGATGTTCAGATCCTGTTCTTGCCAGCTGATCTGCCGTTTCATTACCAACAATACTCTCACGACCTGGCGCCCATGTCAGTTGAACTCTTGTTATGTTCGACCAGTTGTATGAGGGACTGAGGACAGTCCCAGACCAGTTTCCAGGTGATCTGGTAGTATGCCAATATACACTGATGCACCACAATTTGCTTCTTCCACAGGAAAATACGTGCCGGCGTTTGCTTACACAATACATCAGAACAATCCCACAGCGGAACTGAAGATTAACTTGCACGGTAAGCAGGCATTTTGCGGAAATGAATTCATACACCTGGCTGGAATCACAGAGAGGTGTATATTCATTGTTCCATCACCTAGTAGCATGTGCTGCATACTCAATAAAACCAGAGCGAGGAGGTATCACAAATCCTGTCACATTACAGGGATAGCAGTCGGCAACGGGTTCACCGACCCTATCACCATCCTGGATTACAGTCACTTCTTGTACCAGCTAGGCTTGGTGGATACCAACACGTATAATGAAATGAAGGATATTGAAAAAAGCGGAAAAACAGCCATCCAAGAAGGCAGACTCGTCGACGCGTTTTGGGTGTGTACAACAGTTTCTACAGTTAAACGAAACATTAGTAACCGTGCCAGTTGTGCTTCTCTGGAGCCCGCACCACAGTTTATGGTGTTATCCGCCATCTGTAACTAACTCCATGAACTTACTGAACCGTCAAGACCAACGCTGGAACCTAATCCAAGACGACTAAAACTTCATACAAAATTTCTCTAAGATAAATTTTAATATTATCCTTCAATTTACTTCTACGCGTTCCAAATGATTTCTTACCTTGAGGGCTTTCAATCAAAATTTTATATGCGCTTGGTTTCCTTGTGCGTGCTAAATGCCCCTCCATTCAGAACCTTCTTATGTACTCACAGCTGAGGATCAGCAGGGACTGCGACGGTTCTCTTAGTGTCTAATTTCCTCCGCTACTCTGATACTTCTTCAGGGTTTGTTACTTCATTTCTCGCTTCTCCTTAGCGCTTTGTTCTTAAATAACCTCGAAATGTATACATTCATCAGGTTGAGAGACCAAGTTTGACCCCTGCAAAAAGCAGGAAGCAAAACTACACTTCTTTTGTATATTTTTAGATAAGAGATAATCATTTTAAATAACGCCGAAGACAATTCAACAGATGTCACTAGTATTCATTTATATTATATTCGCAAAATGCCTGATATTATAAGCGTGGGGGGGGGGATACGCGACTTATTCTAGAGGGATTTAGCAGTTTTTACTGGGAAGGGGAGGGTTATGAGGTGTGGATCGGGGATTTCAAAGAAAATGGAATGGATGGAAAATAAAGAATCATTTGCCTAGCCACTTTGCCCAATGAACTTAAGTTCGCCAGATAGACAGTTTACGAGCTTTACGTTTGACGCGACTAGAAAGTGAGATGATTCATTGCTCAGAGAGGATTGGCAACCGAGGGTATGACGTTGCAGGTTCGCAATGAAGAGGGCTCATACAGATAATTCATTTCTTTGTTTTGAGTCAGTAAACTTTTAGAAAATTTCATCAATCCTAGACCGAACAGAACTTTAAGCTGTAATTAAGCTCTCTGTGGGCTCTTCTGAACATGGTAATGAACAGGCGGTAGATTGTTGCTTACAGGAGTGACCAGTGGAAAACAAAGAAAGATTCCGTTCCCCAGACTCGATCGTTCAGTTAATCGAATTGCCTTAAGCCATAGAGCCAATGCACTCTCCTTCGTATGTTTCAGAGTTGGAGCTACGACTTAGACGTATTCATGGTGACATCGGAATTCTGGAACCTGTACAACCTGCTGTACGAAGTGGAACCTGAGGTTGGCGGAGACCTCTACACTTTCGTGCAGTTGCCCGAAGTACGTCGGGCTCTACATGTTGGCGATCAGGCATTCGCAAGCGGTGGAACTGTTTACGAGTACATGATCCCCGATTTCATGAATTCAGTTCGCCCGTGGCTCGAGGAAGTAATTGAGAACTACCGTGTCCTCTACTACAGTGGCCAGATGGACATTATTGTGGCCTACCCGCTGACTGTCGGCTTGTTCAATACGCTCGAGTTCACAGCCGCGGCAGAGTACCGAGCAGCAGAACGCATTCCCTGGTACGTGGACGGGCGACTAGCAGGGTACATGAAGAGTGGAGGTAACTTCACGGAAGTTGTAGTTCGGAACGCTGGCCACATGGTGCCCACAGACCAACCTTTGTGGGCTTTCGACCTCATCAATCGGTTCACTCAAAATGATCTACTTCCGAGACACAAGTAATCTTAAAATTAACTTGAACTTCCAGGTGGAAATGCTCTGAAATAGACATAATTACTTCCTTTCCTTAAGTCCAATGCCCTCAGCAGATGCAGACCTTCTCTGCATGACCTTGGGACCTACAGAATGAGGCCTAGTTTAGTCATCTTCATTTAAATGCTTCAGACTTCTGGCAAGAAATCGTACTGTAAAACTGACGGTTTTAGAACTGATGCCTGGCTTCAGAAACTTGTTATTTCTGCGTCACAGCTCTCAATCTGAACCTCTTTCGGCAACTGAGAGCTAATTAACCAAGTGAAATGTCTATTTAGATTTTAGTGATTTGCAGTCAACGAACTCACTCCTGTCCATATCTCATGGTAAGCTCCCTCTACACGACTTAGACATGTAAATATCTATCTGCAAGTACTAATAATTCGGTCTGTAATTTTTATTGCAATGACATTTAGAAAGAAAAAGGCGATTTGGAAATTACTGAACATATAAGAAACAATTTTATAATACTCCAGTGTGAAAAATATAATTCGCAAATAAACATGTACAGAATCATAATTTTATTAACAATTTTTAGCAGTTCATATCTCCTAGTGCTTTGATAAGGCTGACTTGTAGAGTACAATTTTTAGTACATTATTAGATTAACACCACATTGGCTATTGTCCACTGAGCTATATTTGACATCCAAAACATTTCAGAATTTGTTCTATTCCAGGTTTCAAGTAAGTGATCAGTTGTCATGATACTGAGTCTGAACTATATCAGAAAACAAGAAATAACCGCCAAATTTCCTTCTATACGACATGGACAGCATAGGAAAAGACACATCCGGCAATTCTTCGCTGCCGCGTGAACGTCTTTACCGAGGTTTTAGAATGCAATGATAGGAGGATACACAGACAGACCCACGGACTCTTGTTTGATAAGACACGGACTGCATAGAAATTGATACACCCAACAATTCTTCTATTGTTGCGTGTATCCATTGCCGCGGGAACGTGTTAACCGAGTCGTTGCCTAGTACCGAATCGAGAGATGTAATTAACCGAGCCGTTGCCTTGCAACGAAAGGAGGGATGAACCTATAGACACAGACTGTTGGGAGGGATTTCTGTACTACGATGTCAAGATGGGATCACTTGCCGTGATATACACGCCAGGTTTCATAAAGGTTGGTTCAGGCAATCAAAAGTTGATAGGGAGGATACACAGACATATAGACAGGATGGAGGTCCTGCTTCATGTCGGTATGCATGGTTTGCTCTTCAACCCTGAAGATGGAGGCAGCATATTCCCCTAAATAGTCGGTTAACTTCCAATTGACTATACTGCATTATATCCCAGAAGATATAAATCTCCAACTGAGTGCCTGCCTGCTTCTCGTGTTGGATTCTGCGCCGTGGAGTGGATTTCTGAAGCACAGCACCGCAGGATCCGTGGAAGCTATCGACCTAGTTCAGGCAGTGAATGCAGGGCCCGTCACTTTCGCTGCTATCCGCGAGGTCTGCGGGTTGTTATAGCAACGAACTGGTTACAAGTACCGCTAAGAACCATTCATCACTAGGGATTATTCAGTTACTACATCGTCTCGAATGAGGTCAGAGTTGTTGAGTGACCACGACAGACCACAGACAAGCATATGTATGTATGATTGTCTTCATTTGTAGCAATGAGTGATTTATACACCTCCCGAATACGAACCTAAATGTATGACGGTTATTAAATCCTTGTAGCCCGGCCATTTTGCAAAGACTAGAACAGCTTCTTAGATAGAATTAATTTTCCCATAGTTGAGCGCTATCTCTTCATCAGAGATACAGAATCATCTCCGTAGTAGCTAGACCGGAGCATAGCTGATGTACGTGTAACCGTGAGCCACAAAATCCGGCCTTCGCACTGCGACCTTCAATGATCTATTGTGTTTTCCCTTTGGGTTAACCCTTTATTAATCCTATGCTTCGAATCAATGTACTTAATGCACACTGAGTCAGCATCAAGCAAACAGATCAAATGAGCTTGAAGGTTGCAGCAAATTACACGTACATCGCTATACAAATTATATTCTGTCGGCGTATAGTCTACATTTGCAGAAAAGCCGTCCCTGAGCTTAATTAAGCACACGCCATGACACACCCGTGTCGCTCCATTCCCGGTGATGAAGTCTACGATAGGCTGGTGCGCTCCGAGCAGCTCTGGGAGCAATGGTGATTAGAAATATCTCTTTCTCTGCCTAGAATCGAACTTCAACTCTGAGGTCGTCCAACCCATAACTTAGCCAATCTAATGACAGAACTGCGCCAGTTACGAGTAAACATATATTTCACCCAACATTATCATAATGTTTTACACCAAACTGCATGACGGCGACTGGGTTAAACAATTCATCAGCGTCATCTAATAGCAGATTCCAGAATAAATACGCAAATCGAAAGTAGTGTCCCTTCATATAAGCTCTTCATTGCCCTTGTGCTAGATAATTATTTCCAAGTCCTACACTTCCCATTACTCCGTCCGGCGCCGAGCCTCTGATTGGCCAGTCGTGTTTCCTCACCGGAGATGACGTCCCACAATACCAAAAGAGTTGCCGTCATGACAAAGACTAAATTCTTGTCATAATTCCAGATGGGATTTAAACCCAAGACGAATTCTATCCAGTAGGGACTTTGACGTTTCCCAGCGTGACGTTTCCCAGCGTCTCTCCTATGTAATTAACTAATTACCTACCTTGGCTCATCACTTCCGTGAAGACGGACATAATATATTCGTCCGAAACAATGGTGCCCACCTACCATAGTACATGGTACAACAAAAGAAAAACAATTCCATATCACAGTGAAGAAATACATTTTAGGGAGCATACGACTTAGAGATAGGCCCTATGCCTATGCATCCCGGGGTATTTCACAAGTAACAGTCTATGTAGTTCTTCACCTGCAATTATCCAGGAGAAACAGTGTCCATGTAGCAAGCACAAAAGTAAAGGTAAAGCTATCCCTGTAACACGCCGTGAAGACCCATAAGGTTGTGAGATGTCGATGCTCCCACAATTTCTCTAGAAAATCGGCTCAGAGATGGCAGTAAAGTTGTTAGCTTTATGCCCCGTCCGCCCTTTACCCTCAAGGAAAATTCCTGATACTTATTTCTGTTAGAAGGCCGCGACATAGCTCAAACGGTTAGTCGCTGGCTTCCCACCGTGGCAGCCCGAGTTCGATCCCGGGTCTGGTCAAGTGGGATTTGTGGTGGAAAAAGTGCAGATTTTCTTCGAGTACTTCGGATTCCCCTGCCAATCTTCATTCCACCAAATTCTCCATCATCGTAATCACCCGGGGCAGGCTACAAAAGGCCAATCAGTGGCCGCCGTGCCGAGTGGACCCAATTGGACTCCACCCCCCACTAAGCGAATTAAAACAAAGTTATTTCTGTTAGAGGTTGAGTCAACTCCAGAGTCATAATGCGGCTGTAAAATTAGGTAAATTGAAAAACTCTACCTAACTGGAACTCGAAACCGCGACCTCCCGGCGTGTAGCTTACGCTACCGTGAGGAAGCACAAAGGAAATTAGAAAAACAAAAGAATTTCTGCCGGTAACTTGCAAGTAAGAAACTACTTGGAAAACCATAGAGTACATAAGAGAACAAAATTAGAATCGGCCTTAAAGAACTCAGGCGCCTTAGTGTGAACTAGATTCAATTGACTGAGGCTCTTGTGGTCACGGTAATGAACATCCCGGTTCCATAAAAAGGAGGTAAATGCGTGATCAGGTGATAGCCAGTGCCTTCTCAAGAAGGCCTCTGGACTTCGTCAAATTGTAGCTATGGCTTCTTGCAACTGCAAAGAAGGAAACAACAGACCAGCCCGTGCAGTTAAAACTTCTGCCTCATGCACAGGTTGGGGCAGAGTGAACGAGCCGACTGCTCTTTCTACTGCTGTGGATGGAGCTGAACTCTGACATTTTATAATTTAATGAGAATACTGAAAGATCCCACGCTGCTACATAATCTTCTTATACAAAGCAAACTCCGTGGTTTTAGTCCGCAAGCGAACTATACCGACAGAGAGACCGCCGCTTCTCGGCAAAGTTAGTGCCAACTTTTGCGGATAGAGTGCGTCGCGTGGTCAGCGCAACGAATCCCAACGGCCGATAATCTCGGTTTTCTAGACGGAAGCCGCCATTTCCTTGAAACAGATCCTCAATTATCCTCACGAGGCTGAGTGAACCCCGTTCCAGACCCACTACTCAGAAAACCTGGCAGCGCCGGGAATCGAACCCGGACCTCTGCATCTGTAGCCGGGGAGTCTGACCACTAGACCACAGAGGCGGTCTTCTTATGCAGTGCACAATAATTTCAATCAGTGATCTCGTCCCCTGCCTTTCATCCTGCTGCTAGGCAACCCTAACCGACCCTAATAGCAGAAACGTCATTTTATCCGTTTTCCTTTTGCGTGCGACAACAATTTAATGAATCAAGCATTCACCTCACGAGGTCACGATGATAAATAATTGTGTTTAGTAGAGATTATTTCAGGAAAAACAGGAGCAAGAAAGCGCAATTGTACTACTTTCATAGTTAAAATGAAGCATAGCATGCGAACACGTAATGGATACTGACATTCTTTGACCTTGGTCCGTGTAGATTTTGCTTTTGTAGGGCTCGGATTCGAAACTGCCAGTGCTTATATTGAAGTCACCAAGGTCATCCAAGGGGCTATCACCAATAACAGACCAGTACCTAAAACTGTCTGAAATTGCTTCGCACGGAATCAACCTAAAAGTAGCAACCCCTACACAAACGGTTAGGCTACACGTGTCTCTGGGCTGCCAAAGAAGTTGCTGCATCATCACGGCGCCGGGAACCTTCTGCTTATCTCAGAACAACTCGGTTTAAGTACACGTAGATTCAAAAGGTTCTGGCGATGGTGTATAACCCTCAGAATTACTAAGTTTTTGGACCTTTTCCATCGTCCGGTACTCTAGAGAATATAAAACGCGACGTTTCGGAGACTAGATCTGTTTCTGTCCTCAGGTGAGGGGGGTGGAAGACACCTACTCAGTTGGTCCCTTAGAAAGATCTAACCTCAAAAACCTGTCGGATTCACACAGCTATTTAATCACCTGAGACAAGGCTAATTCCAAGCTGTGTGAATGTGACAGTGGTTGTCCAGTGATTGACGTTAGCTCTTTCTAAGGAACCCAACTAAGTAACTGTCACCCACATCCCTCACCTGAGGACAGAAACAGATCTAGTCTCCGAAACGTCGTGTTTTATATTTTCTAGAATACCGGACGATGGAAAGAGTTCAAAAACCCACTAATTCTGAACTCCATTTAATCCACATTGAGGAGCTCCTTCATGAGCAGTAAAGAGATTGAGCGATGTATCAGAAAGAAAAATAAAAAGTCACTCCCCACCAGTAACAGCATATCAATAATTTTGTCGAGTCATTTTCATTTTCGTTTAATTTCGTTCATTTTCAGGACCACTTTACTGCAGAGACGAAATGGGTGTTAACGTATTCCATTTGTTCCTGTTCGTTGTTAAACACTAGTTATATTCAAATTTTAATCACCTCACTTGTAAGAATCTTGACAAAAGAACCAACACGAAATATACGTATTTATTTAGAAGCAATCGATTTCCTTACATCTGTTAAAATCACAAGAAAAAGGTTGAACTGATACTTGGTAAGCTATAGGCAAACGGAATCATGGTAGCGGTGTATTACAGTAGCGTCTAAACGGCTATTTCAAGGATAACTTAAATTTAACCTGACATAAAGGAATTATATAAATGTCCCTTATCTCCAGACGAACGACAAACAAAACAAAACCTAAATAACGCACATAATTGTGTTGCCAGAAAGATTAAATGGTTGCTGTTTCTCAGTGACTGAAAATGCACGTAAGATATACCTACATCGCCTACCAATCAGAGTCAGTACCACGTCCGCTGAAGATGAGCGTCGGAATTAGGACCGTATCAAAATATGGCTAACAGACTGATCTCAGACCCACCACCCAGGAAATTAGCAGAATTAGGTACCATCAAAACACAGTTAAAACGACTAACTTCATGGTCTTCCGGTTCATTTCAACTTTGTTAAAAAGTGCATATTCATTAGCTTCTTCGCCGACCTGTACAAGCGCTCTAGAATCGTCACTCTAACCAAACAAGTATCCCAAATTTATAAAGAGAATTTTTAAAAACTGTGCAATCCTCTCAAAGTTAAGTTTTGAGTTCTGAACCAAGATAGGTAACACAGATTCAAGCAAAGCCATTTCAGTACACAGATATTTAACACTTTATGCATTGCGCATTAACAAAAACAAAGAAACACTGAACTGTAGTTGCAAACATAAATTTAGTTTCCAAATTAATCACTACAAAAATTCTCTTACTCCATCCATACAATAAGTAACTGAGAGACAGAGCCCTCTGCGGTTTCCAGCAAGTCCTCGCTTTCACAGCGCCCCATCAAGGCCAGTGCTCGGCAACGTAATCTGCCGCCGACAAGCTAAAAACTGCAGAACGTTCCCAGAATTCAGTGCCTGTTCATTTAGTCAAGAAATTAAGGAAATCGGCCTATCAGAAAGCTATGTTGAGAACTGGCGTACAAGAGCCAATGCCATTAAAAATGTTTCTCTCTAAATGCTGTCATACTACGGGCAAGGCCTGCACATAGCAAAACAATTAATGGTCCCCTTAAAGAGGACTAGTGACATAAAGTGCTTTGACGTGAGGCTGCCTTCAAAAGCGAATTAAGGATCTCATATTAAGTGCTCCCAGGAAAGCAACGTTCAGGTTTATGTCGTTGCGGTGAACGAGCAATTTTGCTATAACAGTGCACAGATCTCTGCTATGCTCCACTTGCAGTCGCGTCCCATCTGTCAGGGGCACGCAGCTCAATTTCACGTAATGAAACACAACATTTTCAAAACAACATCATAATAATAATTAAATTTGGGCGTACAGCACACATTTACTTGTTATATGAGCAAACAAACATGAAACTCCACATACCCGTTCTACGAAAAGACCAAATTGGAAAGACCTATCTATCTGTCTACCTATGTCTCTACAACCCATTGCTGGACCTTAGTCGCTTTTTCAGTTTCTTAATCCTATACACAGTGGGTATGACTCCTTGGAAGGGGATCAGCCCGTCGCAAGGCCGCTACCGACACACAGAACAGCACAAACACAGAATAAACGCACACAGAAATCCATGCCACGAGTGGGATTCGAACACACGATCCAAGCGTTCGAGCGAGAGAAGACGATTGATGCCTTAGACGTGAGGCCACTGGGATCGGCTGGGTGGGACCTAATGCTTCCAAAATCAAGTAGCAGTTCACGTGTCAGATCATTAGACCAGGGCATGACGTGCTCATGTGAAAAGCAGATGGACCCACGTGACCGCATTCTACGCTGTAACAATTCAGCATAACAACTTACGAAACACGTAATCAGCGCATGTCCCTGAACTCCAGTCGTTACAAAACGCGTGCCGCACATGAAAACACACACGGGAGGTCACATTCGAGTGGTTCTGCATCATGTTCCTAAGTCAAGGGTTCAAACCTCGGCCAAGTAAACAGCCAGTTTGACTGGGGGTTTACTTAATTTTCTCAGTTCGCTCCCGACAAATTCGGGGACGATAACTTAAAGTAAGCCATATAAAGTGAAGTTGTCCCTGTGCTTAACTAATTAAACGTTATGTCATGAAAGTGTATTGGTACTTAATTAAATAATAACAGGGTATATTTTGTCTCTACTTTACCTTCTCGGAAAGGAAACCTGCGATGCACCACTCGTACTTATTTTCGCAAGGGCTTCAGTTATGGAGACTTCATGACACAAAATCAGATCTTCGTATGACAATGTGGGCCAGTGTGGAGATTCGGCGCGGCCTTAGACGTATGGGGTGACATCCCAAAAGGCAGTCCTCTGTACGTGGCTTGTACCTTTATAAGTAACAGAATTTATGTATTTCTGGAAAAGCAACACCCATTCCTCCTCACAGAGATTAAACAAAAGCATGCACACACGTAAGTGTAGCTTTGCCTGCTGGCCTCCTAGTGGGAAAAGAGAACAGAAGTTGAAAATGAATGACTACAAAGTTCTGGAAGCAGACAGGATTTGAACCTAGACAGATGAACTAAGAGAAAGAGCAATGGAGCATGGTCCTGCCATCTGTACGCCGTACTGCAAAACTGGATTGCGACTGCGAGTGAGTGAGACAGTGGAGCTGAACGGTATCGCATCTACAGGCGAACCTGCTCCATGACGCGGAGTCATTGTCTGCCGAGCAAGCAATAGGGAGATATGACGGAAAGTGTTACTGTGACGGTGGCTCAAGGCGCTCTACGAGGCCGCGAAGGGACGTCTAAGTGTCAGAAAGTATACTACAGCTTCCAGGGCATACCATATGCCAAACCTCCTGTTGGATTTCTCCGTTTCAAGGTGGGTTTCGGGGCTTTAGCTGCCCCTGGACTGCTGATGGTCCACTGCGGTGAGGTGCATAGGCACAGCGGCAACCTCCCCATAATCATAATCATAATAGTAATATAGAGCTATTTGCTCTTCGCCAAATATTAAAATAATGAAATCAAGGATTATGAGATGGGAGGGGCATGCAGCACGTATGAGGGCTGAGAAACTGATAAGTTTTGTTGGATAAACCTGAAGAGAAGAGATTTTTGGGATACATAGGCGCAGATGTGAGGATAATATTAAGATGAGTTTTAAGGAAATATGATGATAGGGTGTGGATTGGCTTACTGTGGCTGAGGACAGTCTTGGTGGTGGATTGTTGTGAACACGGTAATGATCTTTCTACTTTCATAAGCGATGATCAATATCCTAAGTGAGCGACTATTAGTTAGCCAGGAAAGACTTGCTCCGTGGAGACAACGGAGGTGAATGTTTCTTATTGCATAAGGATGTAATGGACGTGCGCAATCCGATTTAAAGAGACGGTTAAATTGGCGTCTGACACAGAACAAAATACGTTTATATTTCAAAATGATAAGCAAACTCATCTGAGAGAGGTCCGCGATATATGAGGCTACGCTAACGGACATGCCTGCAATGAATACCCTTGTACTAGAAATGTCAATAGAAACCGGAGAAATTATTTCTTGCTCGGCGCTTGTCACGCAATGAAATTTCTTTGTCTGGCAACTCTCTTTATGAACAGACGACCGCCCGACGAACCGTCTTTGTCTGCGCCGTTATTTATGCGTAGCATTCTCCCTGTCTCTGCGCCCCATAAATTAAGTTGCTGAGTTTTGGGGTAAAGCTCGACGCATTGTCTGACCACTAATTGGAAGTGATCGATTCCCGACACTACCAGATTTTCTGAGAGGTAGTGAGTCCACTCAGCCTCGTGATGATAATTGAGGAGCTATTTCAAGGAAATAGCGGCTCCGGTTTAGAAAACATAAATTAACGGCCAGGGGGATTCGTTGAGCTGAACACGCGACACCCTCTATCTGCTAAAGTTGCCACTAACTTCGCCGACAAGCGGCGGTCGCTCGGTCGGTATAGTTCGCTTGCGGACTATCACCACGGAGTTTTTTTTTTTATTTGAGTGGTTAGATTTAGGTTTTTCCGGCCGCTTTACGGCAGATACATATTGTGGGAGAGTTGGTGGGCCTCACCGCTGGTATACACGTCATGGGGATGAGAAGACTCCCAGCCCCAGCTGTCACTCGAACCCAAGTAATCTAGCTCATGTCCAGACTTCCAGATAAAGCGATTTTTTGGACAGAATGTTTCGGCAGTGTCAAAAACTCTTCCTCATCTTCACAGCGTCCAGCCCGTCTCTGGGACCCACCTAGCCTCCTATCCCAAGGGACTGTTGACAGATTGGGGGGGGGGTGAATTCAATCCCTCACATCCATCAAGGGCTGAAGTTAAGGCATGTGCGACTCTGCACCTCAACTCCCGTATGTCTGCATTGTGTGGAAGCACAGGGACTTCACCCCTCTGCTTTGCAGTGTTCTGCGGCCTACAGACCCGCCAGTCATTCATGACCATTAAGCGCAATTAAGTGCAGGGGCCCCTTCCCCCCAGGAGGGAGAGTTTACGCTTCTAAGAAGACCTGACAACGAAACTGCTGTCGTGTACTGGGTCTACCCGTTGTAGGTTCAGGCTTCTGTGCTGCAATATTTCGGCATGTGTAGTTTGTTTTCTTCCCGTACCTGACGGTTGGATTTGAAGTTCTCACAGTTGAGACTATGAAGAGTTCTAACTTGTGGGATATAAAGTCACCTAGCCCACAGAAGGTCAAAGGTCAACAGGCGTTTCAGAGGAACATGTAGCCTCCATCTTCAGGATCGATGAGTGAGCCAAGCAAGAAGCCAGCATGGAGCATACAGCTGATTGCTTGCTTGGGTTACTGTGTAGCGGCATGTCCCATCGAAACATCGATTGACTAGTCATCGCATTTGCGTTATATATATCATTACAGAAAAACAATCAGAACCACTGGTTCTGGAGTTAATACGCATAATCGTGCAAGTCTCCGACAAAATTTCGTAAATTACACCGTTCATTTTGAAGCACAATTCAGTCAACACTGGAACCGTTAGGAACATAAAATGGAAAAACTAGATCTGATTATTACAGAGCAATCCTCTAATAATAAATTCTGCCTAATGATATCAATACAAACCCTCAAAACGCAATTAAATGACAAACAGCGAGTTTGTTTTCCGGAGAAATTCAGAGGTCCTCATGTTAAATATGGCGGTATATAGAAGTACCGCAGTCTCAGCATCCTGTTGGATAAATGTATTTATTTTGTATACATACGAGTACATTTCCGTCTCAAATGCAACTTAATATTTTGACCTGCTTCTCTGTCACTACATGTTTCGCCCGCACACGACTGTCATCAGGTGCTGTGTATCTTACCAGAATTGTTCCACTGAGTGCTAAAGCACCATATCGCGTGAGCCAGATGTTGCTATTAATTATAACATAACGATTGAATTAAGATGGAACTGAAAATTAAAATCACAACATTTTGATATTAACTTTCGTTGTAAGCACAACAGACCACTGCAGGTCGCGGTGCAAGGGCCGAGGAGGCCTACCCCTCATACATTGCAGTTGGCAGTTCGTTATTTTAGGGCGGATCTGTGGAACTTTGACCACTGTGCTCTGCATACCCTTATCGCGACATGTCATATTTGCGCAGCTCTCAGAGATGTCGATGTAAAGTCATTACACGGATGTCATGTATGTCAGAATGACTTGTAGATTTACCGCGCTGTTGGGCTGGATGTGTTGTCGCTTGGTTTGTGCGTGTAGAGATCTCTACACAGCTCTTTCAATTATAGAAGGAAAAAATTTCTACGCGATCTTTGTTCCCCCACTGACAGTACCTATGCGATTTCAGATTAACGTAGCAACGATGTGTTGCGTGAACGTAAGCTATGTAATAGGTCACGAACCAGTGAAAGTAAACCTATCCCTGTACCAGGCCGTGAAGGCCCATAGGGCTGTGAGACGTTGAGGGTCCCACATTTTCTAGACAATCTGCTCACAGATGGCGGTGAGGTTGTCAGCCTTACGCGCCGGCCGCCCTTTACCCCAAGGAATATTCCTTGTGCTCATTTCTGCTAGAGGCTGAGTCGAACCCAGGGCCATAGTGCGGCCGGAAGGATTAGTTGTCCCCGTACCTAACTAATTAAGCACTACGCCATGAAGGCGTATGGGGGAGTGGACGTATAGTTCCACATTTTCTTGACGTCGGTACTAGATGGAGGTGAGTGGTCAGCTTCACGCTCCGGTCGCTTTACCCCCCGGTAAATAGCTCCCGGTCCCTATTGGATAGGAGGCTGGGTGGGCTCCAGAGCCTATCTGGACGACATGAAGAAGAGAAAATGTTTGATCCTATTGGGACTCGAACTCCGACCCCTCGGTCGTGCAGCCCGTAGCTGCTGTGTTAAGAAGTGTAACTCTCGTTCCAGGCGCCACAGCCTCCTGAGGCATGGGAAGGAATTCGCGATGCCTCAGAAGAGGGCGCTGTCAGCCCGCACGTCCAGACCCTCCTCAACGAAGGATACAAAGGAGACGAAGACTGTCTGTTCCTCAACGTCTACACTCCACAGGTAGTCTGCCATTGCTGTCACTGTCTGAGTCATGCCAAATGCTCCACCTCTAAGCAATTCCCACTAGCTGCAGAACGAACTTCAGCATAAATATCAAGAGGTTTATCTTCATAAACACGGCTGTGAGAACCGCAGATCGTAAATATTAAGAATTATAGAATGTTCTACATTTACATGAGGTTAAGGTCTAATGTTGATTCTGTTTCTGAATGGCTAGACTTTGCTGTGAAACTGATGACACTACAGTTCTGCTGAGCTTTACCAACATGCATAGTACATGAGGCTGGCCATTTCCCGCCAGAATTAACGCGAAGAAACAAACAGAATCTTGTAGGACCTCAAATAATTGTTAATTATTGCGTATATACTCAAAGGAATTTTGAACAAAGCAAACTAGGGGCGCTTGTTACGTTTCTCCTCATAATGACTCGAGCTGACCTATCCGAGCTGTCCCACCAATGAGAGTTGCGCCTAAGGCAGCGCTGTGTGCGATCAGCGATGAATGTTCAGCTAAATTTCCATTATTTCGAACACATTCGTCATTAAGATCGCTGGAAAAATAGGCTAGTTTTTTTTTTAGGGACAAAACAGTCCTTTCTTGGTCTCCCGACATGCACCTCATTCTGCGTCAAATTTTGCTTACTGCGCCGGCGAAGGTTTCTGTTGCTGAAGTGCGCAGTTTGAGTCACGTTGACTTCTGTTCTCTCCACTCCACTGAAGTGTTTTCACGGAATGCTGCCTTCATAAAGAAGGTCCAATCAACAACCGAAAAAAATAGTAATACAAAAACTTCATAATATTATACTGAAGCATCCTGTTGCACATCCCTTGTTATTCAACAAGTGTCATGATTCACCGTCTTACGGGCCACGAATCTTTCTAGAACTCATTCACACGTTTCTTACATAAACGTAAGGCGTCTTTTAAAACTTATTTAAAAGTTTCTATACATTGCACTACATTTTTCGACTGACATTGGTCATCTTCAGGTGTTTAGAATTGTTGGTGGGAGCCACTGTGCTTCCGTTTTGTGTTGCAGTCCATGTATTGCACACTCGTACACCAGACACACAACAGGAGGAAACACCCAGCACCATGAAATACATGGGACTACACATCGAATATTAGAATCACAAAACGGAAACTCGGCAGTTTCCACCAACATTTTAAACACCTGACGATGACCAATGTCAGTCGAAACATGTAGTGCAATGTGCAGAAACTTTTAAATAAAATTCAGAAACGCATTATGTGTATGTAAGAAACGTTTTAATAAGGTTTAGAAGGACTCATTGCACGTAAGGCGGTGAATCAGTGGAATTTGTTGAATAATTAATATAAACCTCGACCTAACGTACTTCTCGATAGTGACATTTCCTTCATGCCAGAAATAACGGTTACACCGTCATGGCTTGGTCGCCGCTGTTGGACCACAGTCCCCTACGTAAAGGCCAGGTTACCACTGAAGTGAGACTTCAAGATACACGCCCACATTTTTTGCAACCAACTAATTTCCATTTGGTTTTGCTATCTATGCATTTCCACGGCTGACTCGTTTATTTAGTTTCACTATATTAAACCGGTGCGAATAAAACAACTTACAGCAAGAACCGTGTCTCCTAAACAAATGCGCGTATCACAGTTTCGCTTTTAGAGTTATACGGAGTTGTCTACGTAACTCGAGTGCGTATTTCGTATTACTTTCCCCTTTATACATGAGCTGTGTACTGATCGATTTGCACTTGGCCGAGCCTACCCACAGTGGACGTATGGGCCATATATAAAAGAGATAGTTTAAACGTCTCAAGTACTATCAATCAAATTGACAACTGTGTATCTACAGCACATGTAGGCCTACAGAATGGAGGAAAATGGCACATAAAGCAGGCATTTGGACACACCTGAGGGGACAAGATTGTGAACATTGGAAGGAAAGATGTAGGGGCCAGCAACACTTACGCAATTTAGGAACAGGCAATTAAGACTAAACTAGCATAGTTGGCCGCGCCATAGCTCAAGCGGTTAGTCGCTGGCTTCCCACCGCGGCGGCCCGGGTTCGATCTCGGGGTCTGGTCAAGTGGGATTTGTGGTGGACAAAGTGGCGCTGGGGCAGGTTTTCTCCAAGTACTTCGGTTTCCCCTGCCAATCTTCATTCCATCAATTGCTCCACAATCACCCTGACCTATCATCTGGGGCTGGTACAATAGGCCAGAAGTGGCCGCAGTATAAGGGACTTAGTCCCACCCCACTAGCAATAAAAAAAAGCTAGCATAATTCAGTATGACGATGACCTACATGCATTAGGATATACATATATGCTACAGATATTGTAAATATGCTTCTCTTCATTCCCCTTCTTGGCGTCTTGATATGGCACATGGAAAGCTCTACTTTCATCATAGAAAATAGCGCTTCGTAAAATCTGAAATGAACACCCATGAAATCTTAAGGGCGACTGCCTTAAAGAGAACTGGAAATTGCTTCAATCAAATAGTTCCCAAGAACGGAAGCAACTCAACTATACCATTACCTTACTGCACATCTGTGCAAGTTACCAATAAACCTTTCTTGTGTGTGAGCTCACGCAATGAAAATAGTTTCTCTCCCCCCCCCCCACATGAGATATCCTGTCCATGAGCTAGGATCGAACATTATTCCCAAGGCTCAGCACGTAATGGCATTATGGAAAATACGTTTACAATCAACTGGGCGCCACGTTAATATCTTCCTCAAGATGGCTGCTGTTCCCAGAATTTCCCGCTAGACTGTTTGTCTAAATGCTTCTCACAAGGTCTTGGCGCCTGTCCGCACCGCCTTCACATTCCAAATGCGCTGTACCACAATCATCGAGTCTTTGTACGTATGTCAATACTTCTGTAGCTTCTACTGTCAGTGCATGTTCATGTAGAAGTGCCAGTTAGTGGACATGTTCCCTTCCTGTCTCGCAGTGTGAAGTCGGGTTTGTTCCACGCCTTGGTTCCGTTCATAATAATACGTTGGTTCTAGAGTAAAGTCACTTGACTCTTGACTTGTTTCCAGTGGTTTTAGTGTATGTTCGTACACTGAATACGCGTAGATACGTTCCGAAATTTTTTTGAGGCACGGAATTACTGTTATTTATTAGAAGGCGCTGGAGAAACATGTACTCCGTCAATTTTAAATGAAATACAGGACGATCTTTCAGTTCGTTATTAATAATAAAGTAATTACGAATAGCCGTAATGCTAACAACGAGAGGATGAAATGTTTAGGAGTGTTCTCAGTTACGTGCTTGAGCAATTACAGAATCTCTCATGTCGATTCATTTTCTGAAGCTTCCATCAGGCGATGATGGCCCGCTGAAAGCTGTCATGGTCTACATTCACGGAGGTGGCTTCATTTCTGGTTCGGGCACTGCTGAATTCTACGGACCTGATTACTTCCTTAGCGAGGACGTGGTTGTGGTCACCCTGAATTACCGGCTCGGAGCTCTGGGTAAGTGGCAGTTCAGCTGGCGGCAATGGAGCACACTGCCATAATATGAATGACTGAATTTGTTAAGAGGCATGCAGAACGATCCTGTAGTATTTCTGGTCCTTTCTTTTTGGCTCAGTGGGGGGTGGAGTCCAACTGGGTCCACTCGGCACGGCGGCCACTGATTGGCCTATTGTAGCCTGCCCCGGGTGATTATGATGATGGAGAATTTGGTGGCATGAAGACTGGCAGGGGAAACCGAAGTACTCGGAGAAAACCCACCCCAGCGCCACTTTGTCCACCACAAATTCCACTTGACCAGACCCAGGCCGCCGCGGTGGGAAGCCAGCGACTAACCGCTTGAGCTATGGCGCGGCCATTTCTGGTCCCTTACTTATAACCACTTTCACTGTGATAGCAATCCTTAGGAAGGGTTGTGTGTGTGTGTGTGTGTATATATATACTGAGAGTGCATAATGTTGGCATTAAGCAATCCCAGGATCGTAGTTTATTTACTTTCTTAACAGGAACATTTCTGCCATACCGGGTGGTATCTATATAAATTGACTAGTTTGTTGGCTACTAAACATGACTTCGGAACTAAAGTGTATCGTACCCTACCAGCGCGTAGTGATGGCAGAAGTAATAAGACTGGAGATATGTTCTTCTGTTCAAGCGTACAGATTCTTAAGATTTCATGCTTACTTACTGTGCCGACAGAGAAATCAGTATTTAAACTTCCCAGAGACATGAAACTGTCTGCTCACATTTTTAGACGATTTATATATCCAGGAACATTTAAATCGAAAATTGGAGCGGTAAATACAAAGTCATATGCCATCTCTTTTCAACGACTTTATTTCCTACATTTCATAAAATGTCTGTGGGCGCTTCATGTGAATTAGGCTTTTAGTAGACCAAGAATAAACTACAGTTCGCTGTTGATAACGTTTAACATAAAATGTAGCACGAAAACACAATGAAATTAGTCTTCTGGGATATGGCGCTGTGTAGATATTGTGTTAACCGACTTTTCGGAGGAACGTATCGCCTCCATCTTCAGGGTAGAAGAGAAAAGAAGAAAATCCGCGAGCGAGGAACCAGCGTGAGCAGGTGCTGACAGACTAATGTCGAGAACAAACCCAGCTATATAAGAAGAGGGAGGAAGGGAGAGGGGGCTACATGGGAAATCACCTGCTCAAGCTGGTTCTTCGCTTGCGGATTTTCTGCTTTTCTCTTCTATCCTGAAGATGGAGGCGATACATTCCTCCGAAACGTCGGTTAACACAACATCTACACGGTGCCATATCCCAGAAGACTGCGTTATTCATAGTCACCGCCATGAAAACCTCAAATCTTACACAATGGAAATTAGTTAAACCGTTCAGATGAGACGCGGAGACGGACATGGCCTTCATTTTCTGGGCACTTTTATGTACTGATTGCAAACGTCTGGACACCAGAGAGAGGACTGGAGTCTGTATTGTGCATTCCCATATGAAAGTAGTCGGATAGTAACTGTTAATGGTGTCCAGGATTCTTGAGCACTGGAGACTCGGTGGTTCCCGGTAACAACGGCCTGAAGGACCAAGTGATGGCTCTGCGCTGGGTTCAGCAGAACATTGCGCAGTTTGGGGGCGATCCTGGTAACGTCACCATCTTCGGGGAGAGCGCTGGGGCCGCCTGCGTGCATTATCACATGTTGTCCCCAATGTCAGAAGGTAAAGCTTTCTAACATTGCTTTTAATGTTATAAATGTTTATACTAACCTCATGGACACAGAATATTAGAATTTTGGGAACTATTTTATAAGTTTTGGTTTAAAATTCCCCCTCTGCCCCCCCCCCCCCCGGCCTTCTGCCAGATAGGGTGAGGGCTCCGTCAGTCGCTGCACTGACCGGTGTAGCTACTGTAATGCCTGGGACTGGATGTCATGTGACTGTAGCACAAACGGGTGCAATGAGAATGCTAGGTACGGCTAAGACCCGATTCATGATCAAAACTAGCCACAACATATCTGGGTATTTTCGGGGGCGTATGATCGGATGTCGAGTGTCGCTTGATCTCCTGCAGAATTCTGATTACATTCAAGCAAGATGCTTACTAAGCCTTGACTCTGCCCACGCATTATTATGATGCCCACCTTCATGTTTTTTTTTGGGGGGGGGCTCTTATATGTCACGGATATAACTAAATTCCCATGCAGTTATGACATCACTTCACTCTCTTCAAAACCATTTCGGAAGTCTGCTACACTTGGTTTCCACGTGGTCAGTAGGTAATTTCTGCGGTTATGAACTCAACATAGGGGTACTTGGAAGCATTTCTGTGGCGTAGGCCTGCTGCATGTAACTCGCATATTTCTGTAACCGTATTTCGTTTGGTTGAGCGGCAGAATTGTTCATTTTACTTAATATTTCAATATGCTTAATTTTCCTTAAGAAGCGATATATACTAAAGAAAAAAAATCAGGGCGGTGACTGCGCACCGGAGGAGCGGAAAGCAATCAGCCCTTCGAGGTAATTGGAAAGTTGAGTTAAAAGAACGGAGATCTGTTCTTAGTTGAGGCGAGAACACAGACGCAACACATTCGTTTCTCATGAGGGCTGCATGGAGAGTAATTAGTGTCAGCAGGATGTGACTGCTTAACGGGTCCATAGCAATTGGAGGTGTGCGAATGTTTGAACGTTACAAAAGCATTTAATTACAGAATTCGGAACCCCACATGTCAGAGCGGTTGTTTTCTTTAGTTTAGGGTCCAGCTACACCCTTCCGAAGACACTTTATGATAACTACACATGACAACAAACCAAAATTCACCACTTCGGAAAACTACAGACTTGTCTCCCGTGGTGACCTTGCCCCCTTCCGGTCATACCAACTGCATGTAAACAATAACAAAGCAGTTGTTTTCTGTCCAGATACGAAAAGCAAGTCATGACATGCTAATGAATCGGTCTCGCCAATAAACCAGTCACCCTTCCGAAATGGCTAAAAAGGACCATAGCGGTCACGGAGAACTGTAACAGGTTTTGACTGCCACAATATCTAATGTATTGTCTCACTGTACTCCCCAGTATCTCATGAATGAAGGATATGTTTTAAGAAATATCCATATGCTGTTCGTAAAGCAATATTGTCGAGGTTAAAACAGGCTTAGAATGCTGTTAAGGAATATTTTATGGGCAACAGAAAACACTGAGAGAGTGTGGATGTAGCCTGTAACCAGGAGCACACAATCGTCACAACTCCGCTTCAGATATCCACAGATTTAACAATTTCGGAATTTAGACTGAGATAACTCAAAATCAGTGCATCGACATTCCATAAGGAAACTTTACAAGTCAGATGACCGACGGACGAATTATTATAGGCCTACATAATCTGAAACAAATGAAGGGAATATTAACGTCTGCTGTTTTAACCCACCAAATAAACTTAAATCGCCGTCCCCTATCGTCTGACCAGCTGGGCAGTTGGCCATGGCGTGTCCTGTTCATTAGTATCACCTCTCAGACATATGAAGGACGAGCGCATATATTTCTGTCAACACATTCTGGCCGTTTGTGGCTGTAGTGCTAAGCAACAGAGTTCAGTCCATTACTAATCAGACTATTTAGGCAATAGTTATCGCTTTCCTCTGTAAGTGTTCCACATTCTTCAAACGTACTTCTCGGCAGTATGTTACGGAGTCCCGTAAAGGAGAATAAATAGACTCTCAATTTCTGTCGCTATTCGCATTTGCGCGATGCGTGTTTCCAATAGTGTCTATTTATTTCAACCACAGTACAGGTATGTAAGATTTGAGGTTTTCACTGCGGTGGCTATGAAGAAATCAGTCTTCTGGGATGTGGCGCCGTTTAGATATTGTGTTAACCGACGTTTCGGAGGAGCGCATTGCCTCCATCTTCGGGGTAGAAGAAAAAAGAAGAAAATCCGCAAGCGAAGAACCAGCTTGACGTTCCTCCGAAACGTCGGTTAACACAATATCTACACGGCGCCACATCCCAGAAGACTGATTTCTTTGTACAGGTAGGCTGCTGGAAGCTGATTGTCCAAAAGCTAACGCAACATTTCATGCGTTTGTTGTTGTCCACACGATGTGTCGAAAGTCTCATGACGACATGAATAATATTCGCGAGGTATGAAGTATGTGCTGAAGTGCCGTGTGCAGGAACAAGCTGTCACGTCTGTGCATATTCTAGGGGTGGTACAGTATGGGACTGTTCCATAAACCTTCCTGTTCTACCGACACTGTAAAAACGCCAAACTTCCACAGGAATCGATATTACGCTCTCACGGTATGTGATGCTGCAAATTTGATAGGTAGTTCGAGGCTACCCGCAGCTTTCATCTTCAGGAAGATGCCGTTGTGGCAACTTCAAATCGTCCGTGAGGAAATGTTAATTACTTTCAGAAGGCACAATCTTTATTCATTTTGTAGTAAAATAGCATGGAGCCGGGGTTAGGACGAGGGGCCTGCATGTCAGACGAGCGACTTAAGCGTCCATAGTTTCTAAATTCTTTGGTCAGAATCACGAATGAGAGACACAGCAGTTTCATGAAATTCCGGAATGAAGAGGCCACAAAGTGTCCACGCGTCACACCTCGTTCTTCCTATGAAGCGTGAAGTGAAACTGCGCTTGGGGAGTGATATCTTCACCGTCCCTTGTGTGCCGGCTTCGGTGGATCACTTGAGCGTGTTACGGCAATAACTGAGGCAACCGGAAACTGCACACACGAAGTCAATCGACTGCTCGAAATCAACGGCACAACTTCCACTGTCCACAAACTCTTTATTTATTCTGAAGCGAAATATTATAACTGTCTTTGCAAGCACGGAATAATGTGGCCCTTTAATATTATCAAATTTTAATGAGCCAAAGTGAAGTACTGATGAATTTAAAGAAACACAGGAGCGCAGCCCAGTGACGTCTGCCTCCGATCACTTCAAAACGCAAAGTTTTTGAAGACATCTCCTGCGGGAGCATCGCTTCATGCCCCAAGAAGGATTTGAATTGACGGCCTCTCTCCCGGACAAGAATTAATTTCCTGTTGGCCGATTTTAACTAACCAAATTCATCATGCAATCGGCACAAGCCAATCACATAACGACCCTTGAGAATTAAACAGTTCCCAAGATATAGAACCCGGAACCCCACATGTGAAAGCGGTTATTTCTTAGTTTAGGGTCCAGCTACACCCTTCCGAAGCCACTTTATGACAGTTACACTTGTCAACAAAACAAAATTCCACATCTTCGGAAAACTACAGACTTGTCTCCCGTGGTGACCTTGCTCCCTTCCGGTCATACCAACTGCATGTAAACAAAAACAAAGCAGTTGTTTTCTGTCCAGATACGAAAAGCTAGTCATGACATGCTAATGAATCGGTCTCGCCAATAAACCAGTCACCCTTCCGAAATGGCTAAAGAGGGCCATAGCGTCCATGTAGAACTGTAGTAGTCACTAACTTATCACGTGCTTACATATAGCAATTCTACTGAACTGTGTAATTGTGTCAGTGTATAATCAATTGAACTTCAATTCCAGGTCTGTTCTCCCGCGCCATCGCTCAAAGTGGCTGTGCACTCAACCCGTGGGCATTCAACACAAGATCAGAGGCTCGCAGGAAAGCCTTCCGATTCGGGGAAACACTTGGCTGCAAAACGAACGATTCTAAAGAACTGGCTCAATTCCTGAACGCCGTTCCAGCACAGCAGCTTGTTGAAGGGGTGTCAGAGGCCATGACAGAGGTGGTAGGTAGAGGCAACACTCATACAGATGTTGGAGTGCAGCTGTCCTCTCCCCAACAAAAATTGGAACACTTTGAACACACTTACGGGTACATTTTACAATCATTTCTCGAGACAAACGAACATAATCTCCCAGCCGATCTTAGTGATATCCCATACGTTCGCGTGAAGTAGAAATCAAGATGGAGAAATTGCGAAAACAAAGATAAGAACCCTCAATCTCTAAGAAAGAACACTTGCAACTTATGTTGGGTGCAATGTACATGTATTTCCCTTACTAAACGTCAGAAGAGCATTGATCTTTGTAGGACTGAAACGAGTAGCAAGGGAATTATCAAAGTTTAATTTAGATTAGAAAAGTTTTCAGGAGATTACATGGGACAAGGGTCTTGCTATGGAAAGGGAATGTTAGCCATCTGTTAGTCTGTGTTTGCCTTGTAAACAGGAATGAAGTCAGCAGTTGCGATGCTGTTCTGATTGCTCAACAAAGCACAGAAGTTACGATACAAAGGATAACGTATATGAAGAACAAGAGCCGTTGTTGCATCACTTCCTACGTACAGTATGAAAATTTCGTTAGGCGATTTAAACGAGAAACATTTCAAACTGACAGACTTATTTGCAATAAGAGTGCTGTGTGGTCTCCAGGAACAGAGGGACAAACGCGAGAGTTTTGCTGTCCTTACCGTAAGCTATTCGCCCTTCTCCGTTCAGAATATCCTTAAATTTTATTGTTGAATTGCATTGACAGTTGCATGGGTCGCGAGGAACTGCGGCTGCTGTCAGAGCTCATCCAAGCTTAAGGTGACTTCTTCTTTCACTGAACACAAAGATACATCAAATTATTAGTCACAAAATACAGATATACGTATAGGATATGAGGTTCTTAGCACAGCAGTTATGAAAAGTTCTATCTTCTGGGATATGTCTTTCACTCCGTTGAAATCTAACCCACATTTCGGAGTAAGATTTCGCCTCCATCATCAGGATCAAAGACTAGGTAAAACACAGCTCTGCTTCCTACCTGCTTCACGCTTGTTTCTTGCTTGACTTATTGTTCGATCCTGAAGATGTAGGCCATATGTTCTTCTGTAACGTCTTCAACGGACTACACGGTGTTATATCCTAGAATATGGAATTTTTCAAAACATGGGTACGCTGTACAGTGATTTTAGATGCCACTACAGCTCCCCCTCCCCAGAAAATGTGGATCTCTTAGTGCGGGAGCTACACAGTGTTTCAGTATCTAAGCCTGCAGAAAATAAAAACACGGATACATGAAACTCGCTACTGCGGTTAACAAAATCGATACAAATGAATAATGAGAATATTTGAAACCCGCTCTTGGCAAAACGCGGTTGTCGTGAGACTGTCGCACTGGACTCTGCATGGTCATACACGTATACTTTAACAAGTCCTTGATGGCGAAACCCAAGCACATAATCCTGGTTCTTAAATTAGTTCGAAACCCAATTTTGAAGCTGCGAATAATTTGGTGTCTCTTTCATAAATGCTTACGTACTAGCTCCTGCAAAAAAAGGTGAAGCTATCCCTGTTAACTGGCCGTGAAGGACTATGTGGTTATGAGACGTCGAGGCTCCCACATTTTCTCTAGACAATCGGCTCACAGGTGGCGGTGTGTCAGCCGTCCTTTACCCCCCAGGAAGATCCCTCCTACTCATTTCTGTTAGAGGCTGAGTCAACCCAAGGACCATAGTGCGGCTGGAAGGATTAGGTCAATTAAAAAATCCACCTCATCGGGACTCGAACCCGCGACCTTCTGGCTTGTAGTATAGTGCCTGAACCAATTGCCCCAGCTCCTGCAATATATCGGCCTAAAATATCCCCTCCTGCTAACAAGTGATAAAGATAAGCTTGGCTTTATGACGATGCTCCTCACCATGGGGCACACCAGTTCAACTAACCAAACTCATCGGTCTTGTTTGTACCTGAGGCGCTGATAGTCGATCAGCCGATCAGCCGGTCAGCCGATCAAGAGAACTAGCATGTACGAAATTTTGCAATGGTGCAAGCCGACCCTGCTCTTGCAGGATTTGAGGTTGTCACAGCAGTGGTTATGAACAGTTCTCTGTTCTGGGATATAGCGTTTAAAGTCAACCGACGTTTCGGAAGAACGTGTAACCTCCATCTTCAGTGTCGAATAATAAACCAATCCGAGTTCTGATTGCTGCATGCTTTATGCTGGTTTCTTGCTTTGCTCCTTCGATCATGAAGATGGAGGAAACATATTCCTCCGAAACGTCAATTGACTTTCAGCGGAGTATATGACTTTGTAGTCCAGATGACAGAACACTTCAAATTGCTCTTATATACATCATTTCCAGGAAAGAGACCTTGGAACAGTGTTCTTCAAGCCAACTGCGGAAGTGGAGAACCAAGATGTTTTCCTTCCGGCTGAACCCGCTGATCTCATCACGCTTGGAAAATTTCATGAAGTGCCTTTTTTAACTGGAGTAAACTCAAGTGAGGGCCTTCTCTGCCTCAGAGGTAATGTTTCCGTATATATCCATTTAGTTTTACGGCAAACTATAGAAAGCACCGAAGTACTTAGTCCTGAATTCTCACCATAGCAATAAGAAGCTGTGGGACGAATACAGGCATCGTAGCTTCCTCTAAGAACTTCTTATTCTTAATACTGTAACCTCGTAACATTTCTCTGTTACATGTCCCTTTCTCCCTTATAGATACCCACTTGATGCGAGTCCATACTCACCCCACAGACGAGCTGTCCCATAATCACGTTTTCTTCTGGAATGAGAGGAAAGCGTAGCCTGCGGCAAGAAGTACAGTCTCCACCTATCTCTCCTTGCACGTCTCTTTCCTTTCAATACCCACTCGAGCCATGTAAAGTGCTTCACAATCACCTTTCCTTCTGAAACGAGAGGAACGTTGTGTATCTCAGCTGTGGAATTGGCACAAATTATACTAACTGTTTGCTTTGCTAACTGAATTTCAAGTTATTTGAGCAAGAAATATCCATGATGTTCACATTTTCCGGGGTACTGCCACGGGGTTTCTGTATCAGTTTGGGAACTGCCTGTTTCACTGATGTTCTCTCATGTCGCCAAGTGGAGTATAAAACCGAGGACCCTTCCCAGTCACATTAGGAAGGCTGGGACCGGTTACTGTGACTTTACCCAGAGCTTCCGATCAGTGCCGGTGCAGCACTGGCGCTTCTTCCCACATCCCTCATACATAGCGGCAGTATTTTGTCTGGTACTACATAACCTCACATTTGACATTGGTCCAGCTGATTCTTGAATGTACCTAGATGAGTGATAGTCTTCAACTATTTGCGCCTATAAAAATGAACGAGGAATTAAGAATCGGCATTTGCCCTTCAGCCAATCGTATTCTTCACTGTTCAGTAATTTCTAACACTACATAAAAAGAAAATAAGTTTTGCTATAATTTGTGTGCTATTTCATATTTCAGAGGTAATGGCAAAACCAGCAGTGCTGAAGAAATACGACAATGATTTTGAAATATTATTGCCTTCAAATTTGAATCTCGAAAGAAATACACCTAAATCTAAGGAAGCGGCCCAGAAAATAAAGAGCTTCTACTTTGGGGACCAGCCAGTTTCACAGGAGACGCTAAGCCAATATGTAGACGTGAGTATGGAAATGACAAGATTCTCGTAGTCTGGGTTACAATACGATATTACAAATTCCCATATGGGTACTGACTACCTGGGAATGTAGCACACACATTTCTTCTTGTGCGTGGACTCCTATGATATCTAGTAGTTACTATAGGATTCTGACGATGGATAAAGTCCGAAAACCCAATATCTCTGTGTCATATGATATCTGTTAAGTGACATCCTTTGACACACCTAAGGCCTGTTGCTAACAACACATAACAAGAACATTTACAATTTAACACATAAGTATATGCAAAACATCTACCGTAAATTGTGTGGAAGGTCACGAATGGGCGAGTAGTCATCTGTTTCTAATAAGGAATGGTTTTCTCTATATTCAGATAGTCTAAACAAATATTAATCCTGTATTAGTATTTTCAGTTCACCGTTGATTTTAACGGTCTATTTGAGCAAACTCTACAAATATTTAGCTCCTGTAAAATTCAAGCATATTCGACAACAAAATTACACGATTATTTGGTGTATATGTATGCCTGATGCCATTAGGCACCTCGGTAGGAGACCTGAAGTAAGCAAGAACACATTAAACATGACTTGGAACTCCACTGGGAAACGTATCTTTGTCAGAAGATCAGGTGAATATGAAGAATGTCGTCTTTTCGGATGTGGTGCCGTGTAAATCTTCTGTGAACCGACGTTTCGGAGGAACGTTGATTCACACAAGATCTACACGGCACCACATCCGAGAAGACGACATTCTTCAGGTCTACAAGAGGTTATACATTAGTATACATTACATATACAAAGGCTGTAGCTACTAAGAATATGAAACATGTATGTGCGTGCCGTTTCCAAAATAGCGATAATCAGATATGCACAGTTTGTCAGTTTAAGCTATGCCTAAGTCATGGCCAATACAGGGAGTGCAGGATTGACTGATGGCTGTGTAAAGGGAGCCTTCCTCCATCACATTTCCTGTATTGGTCCTTAAAGCAGACGACGCTCACACCGCGGAGGGAAAGTTTCTGCGCATACATACTCAAAGTCCTAGCCACAACACAGCTTATACTAAGTTGGAACTGATGAATATGTATAAGGCGGCGGAAGTACTGACGGTGCTGGTAGCACTTTTATGCCCCTTCGAAACGAGTATCTGTATGTGTAAAATGTGCTGAAATATTTGGTGTACGGTAGAGAGATCCAGTGCAGACACAAGTTAGAAACTGGCTCCTTACAGCTGAGCAGTGACGCGTGGTTTGTGACCGGCGTTCATACGACAGCGAAGCTGCACGCTGCGCGCTCTGGTGCCCCTGTCTACTTGTACCAGTTCTCATTCGATGGAGAGCTTGGCTTCATGAAGAGGATTCTTGGAGCTTGTCGCTTCCCAGGTGAGTCATCAGTGACTGCCTAGAATGAATGAATGAATGTGTGAGGGGTAGTCTTCCTCGGCCCTTGCACCGTGACCTCAGTGGTCTGTTGTGCTTAACAGAGGTAGAAGGTGCGATGTCTCCAGCGGAAAAATTATATGCAACTTTTCCTCAGGCGATCAGATGCGTTATGGCAGGGATAAAAGTCAGCGTTCCTGAGACTTTTTCTGCTTCCATCATCAATGTCGACCATGATGGTGTAGATGGTATTTTTTCCCCCTTGGCACTACAGCCCCAGTGGGCCTAGGCCTACCTCCATGAACTTCTCCGTTCACTTCGGTTTTTCTAGATCTTACACATTCGGTAGGACTCCTTGGGCGGGTGATCAGCTCGTCGCAAGGCCTCTACCTGTACATAAACACAGAAAAACGCGCACACACATAAACTAAACATCCATGCCCTGAGTGGGATTCGAACCCACGATCCCGGTTTCCAAGCGAGCGAAGACAGTACATGCCATAGACCGCTCGGCTACCCTGACAGATGGAAACAGTTGTGTTTATTTCAATCATGATGAGGCTGACGCCCAAGAAGATTTCTTGTGTCTTTGTAGACGTCTTGCTCAGGATTTCCTTTAGCGCAGGCGATGTNTGTGGAGGTGGGGGGGGGGAGGTTACATTCATATGCACGCCGAAGAGTCGCAATGGCCATGCGTTACTCGCCTTATGGAAGACGCTATACAACTTTTCCCCTTCGTTTGGGGTCTTCTAATTCCAGGCCCCCTGATGCTGTGTTGTGGGGCTTATCAGCACTCACTGACAGAAGCCTTACAATGGACAGATACCCTAGCACGAAACATTGATTAAAACTAGTATTTTGGACCAATTTATCCATCATCTGAGTTATTAAAACCACCAAGTTCTGGAAATTGGTTCTGTTCCCCTGTTAGATGAAGGATATACGAAGGAAAACGTGGTATCTAGATCCCCAAGATAAAGATACATATCCTTCGTGAAATGCTGCACCACTGAACATGGTAGTTGATAATTATTCTGCTACCAACTTTTGTGCAATTGTGGCACTGAGCACAACAAATTACTTCAGCATTCGGAATGGATGGACAGAACTGACTCGAGTATAGAGTCGACAAAGATTTCGGAGTATTCCTGTCGGTGAATCGATAAACAGTTTAAATATACCGTCGTAACGTCCGACTTTAAACGACTTCTACTCTTCGTGAATATGAGGTTCGCCACATCTAAGTTAGAGCAATCCCTGCGCTTCATTAGTTAAGCACTATGCCATGAAGACGCATGGGGAAATGGAGGTAGAATTACAATTTTCTTGACCTCGGCACTGTGTGGAGGTAAGTGGTCAGCCTCACGCCCCTGCCGCTTTACACCCAGGGGAATGAGCCCCCGGTACTCATTGGATAGGAGGCTGGGTGGGCCCCAGAGCCGGTCTGGTATTTGTTCGAATTAATGTACTCACGAGTTTCATGTCTGGCGCCCTTCTTCTGTTTGAGAACTAAATAATTTCGCAAGTGAGTTCACATACTTCTTGAGGATGATTACGGTCACCTGGGATGTCATGACTTGTAGACTGGTACTTGTCTACCAAACCGCATGGCGTCACATCCCAGGTGGCCGTAATCTTCATATTCATTTCCATGAGAACTTCAAATCTCGCTTTTGTGTACCCGTCCGCCATCGAAAAACAAAAATTATAATAGACAAGAATACAGGTTTTCCTGTTGTTTTGTATGGGCCTGAAATGTGTTCTCTGATATTCAGAACATATTTGAGCGTGCATGAGAGCAGGGTGCTGAAGAGACCTAAGGGGAAGAAGTAATAGAGGGCTGGGGAGGACTGAGCAATGAAGAGCTTCATCACTTAAACTCTTCAGCAAATATTATTAAGCTGGTCAAATGACGGAGTTTAGGATGCACATGCAACTCTGTCCCTGCAAAGCCGTTCAGCCTCCATACTCAGACATTAGTCTTCCTTAATAAATGTTAATAGTTCAGTATTCGTCTGTTGTGAAAATGATTTCTTTCAGGATGAACTGCTTTTGAGAAAAATGTGAATATGATTTGGACATCGCGCAAAGTGCGCTGCACGGAGTGAGTTTTTAGGCAGTTGTGAAGCAGATTTTTGTGTTAGACCCGGTTATTCTTGTGGAAGAAGAAAACAACTAACAGCAAATCACTATTATTTTCTTCTATGGAGTGACGAAACATTGTCCAGTCTAGTACCGGAAATTTAATTCTTATAACAAAAATGAACTCCGTGATTTTAGTCCGCAAGCCAACTATACTGACCGAGCGACCGCCGCTTGTAGGAGAAGTTTAGTGCCAACTTTTGCGGTTAGAGGGTGTCGCGTGGTCAGCGCAACGAATCCCAACGGCCGTTAATTTCGGTTTTCTAGACCGGGGCAGCTATTTCCTTGAAAGAGATCCTCACTTATCCTCATCCTGACTCACTACTTCTCAGAAAATATCTGATAACGCCGGGAATCGAACCCGGACCTCTGAATCTGTAGCCAGGAACTCTGACCACTAGACCACAGAGGCGGTATTTAATTCTTCTTCATAATTAATTTTAAAATCAACAGTAGGTAAAGGTTTTGAGGAAATAATCAAGCACAGAAAATTGTTATGGAGCTGATATTTTTTGAAAAGGGAGCATTTACTTTGCTTGCTTGGGCTGCGAGTTGCCCCTGTTTTGTTCATAGAAAGAAACACGAGTTAGTTCTCCGTTTTTCTATTTCAGGGGTATGCCATGCCGATGAACTCGGATATCTGTTTTTCTCACCTCACTTGGACGTAGAGTTGGAAGGAACTCCAGAAGAGAAGATGAGGTCACTGCTAGTCAAAATGTGGACCAACTTCGCTAAAACAGGGCAAGTAAACCACTAAAAAGAAGCAATTACCTCATAAAGTCATACTTTACGTAAGTTATAGCGAATTCAGAAACCTGAGATGTGTGATTTTGGAAAATTCTGTTCTGCAGACAGACTCCTGGAAAACCACGGGTTACTATTTTGTAACTACAGTCTGCTTTTACCGGTTCTCACGGTCTCTTCGCTTGCAGAATTCTTATATTTTTTCTTCTACCCTGAAGATGGAGGCGATACGTTCCTCCGAAACGTCGGTTAACACCACATATACACGGTGCCAAATCCCAGAAGACTGCTTTCTTCATAGTCACCGCCGTGAAAGCCTCAAATCTTACATACTATTTTGTTGCTGAAATACGGACGAGCCAGAAATTGCGCAGAATAATGGCGTCAAGCAAAGTAAGAATACGTATGCCTATTGATCGGGCGACACGGTGTCACGTTTATGCATGATGACCCACAGCTAGTTCTGGTTTGTGCTTTGTGTAATTCTATGGATCAGAGTCCTTGTGAAGCTAATAGTCACAAGATAGTCAAGAACTTCCTCGCCTTGTACGGAACCTGAAGATTCATTAATGAGTCCAAAAAAGCACGCCATTGATCCCTATCTCAAGCCAGATGAATTCAGTTCAAATTCTCGTACCCTCTCAGTCTATGATACACTTCCCCCAGGTGTCAGAGGTGGCAGCTGTCATTTAGGATTTTCCTACTAAAATTCTGTATCCATTTGTCAGCCCACATATTCGCTATATGTCCTATAAATCTCGTCTTCCTTGAGTTGGTCAACTTAATAATATTCTGTGCCAATATTCAGTATGATGCTTCCCATTGTGTATTTTCTTTTCTACAATCGAACTCCCACCTTCTTGGATCCAAATACTCCCCTCGGCACTCTGTTCTCAGACGCCCTCAATCTAAGTTACTTCTTCAAGGTAAGAACTAAGTTTCACACCCATACAAAACAAACGAGATTGTAGTTTCATAGGCATGTCCTCAAATTTTTGGATAGGAGGAAGGAAGACCAAATGTATTGAATTGAACAAGCATTCTCCGAAATCTGTATACTTTTATGTTACTATCATTTGCCCTTCCAGGGAGCAAATTTTGGGCATATGTTAATGTATGACAAATCAAGATGAACTACCACGTGTACCATGCAGCTGACAGAACTACTTCTTTTTATTTTCAGCGTAGAGGTAAACAATCTCTACTGCCTGGTCACTGCGAGATTTAAGCAGCATGGAGATAACCACGCATTCTTGACTTCTATATTCTTCTTCCTCTATTCCTGTTGCTCCCACTTGGAGTACAGGGGATCCATGAAAAGCTGGTTTCACTTCAGTTTCTTAACTTTAGACAGTCGTTAGGACCCTTTGGACTGGGATCGGCCCGTCGCAAGGCCGTTACCTGACGCAAACAGAATAATCGCAAACAGACATCGATTCCTTGAGCGGGATTCTTACCGACGACCCCGGTGAGAAGACATTTCATACCTTAGACAGCGCGGCCATTGTGATCAGCGACATCTTTATTACGCGGAAGAAATTAATCATCTACCCGTAGTGGTTACTGGATAGGAAACCGGATGAACAGGTCCCGCAGATACTCCACTTAGGGCAATGCAGAGGAAGAAGGCTCAGTGAAGCAGAGTCCTTCAGTTGCTCTGCCCGCAATCAGTTTCGTTAACGTAAGCATGACAAACAACCTGTTTCAGGAATCCGTCCCTGCCAGACGTGAAGTGGGAGTCAGTTACTGAGTCGAACCCATGCTACTTGAATATCGGCACTGAGCTCACCATGCAGCCACATCTGATGAAAGACAGGATGACTTTCTGGGATGAACTCAAACAAACCCTCAGTAACTAATGTAATGTTATAGAGCTCAGAAAGAAATAACAATTTATCACAATGCAAACGTCATCATACGGTAATTTCATTCTTTGTGCATGTGATTTCAACTGTAAGGACAAACCGGAAACACCGCTGTTACAGTTATATTCTTTGTTCTTGTTACTTCATTTGTAACGGTAAGAAACACATGCTGTCAATCTTGTATCTAAGTATCCTGTTGCATTACTATATTCGACCGTGTTTACACACAACTTTCCCACAATGACGCAACTATTTATGTCTTCATTCACATTTGCCTCGCTATTAGCACAACATGTTTCGGCCCCAAACGGCCATGCTCACGCGATCCATTATGCCAAACCTGCCACACTGCACTGAGTAGTGTCCATCCCACACGCGCGTAATTCAAATGTTACGAGTGCAGTCAACTGTTGTGTGTTAAATCTTATATGTTAAAAGCACTCCATTAAAATCAATTAAAGATCGTTAAAATTTTTAATATGTAAATCCTATTTTTTATTGCTAGTGGGGTGGGACTAAGTCCCTTGTACTGCGGCCACTTCTGGCCTATTGTACCAGCCCCAGATGATAGGTGAGGGTGATTGTGGAGCGATTGGTGGAATGAAGATTGGCAGGGGAAACCGAAGTACTAGGAGAAAACCTGCCCCAGCCTCACTTTGTCCACCACAAATCCCACTTGACCAGACCCGGGATCGAACCCGGGCCACCGCGGTGGAAAGCCAGCGACTAACCGCTTGAGCTATCGCGCGGCCGATGTAAATCCTAAATCCAACTCATAAGGATCTTCGTCCATTTGTCTAAGCAATGTACCCTACTTCGGTTGTTTACTTTGCAGCGGCTCATCCTTTCCATATTTAATAGATTTTAAACGGAGTGGACTGTAACACATAAGATTTAACGCACAACAGTTGAGTGCAATTGTAACATTTCGATTAAGAAATATTCAGTTACGCGCGTGTGGGATGGACACTACTCAGTGCAGTGTGGCAGGTTTGGCATAATGGATCGCGTGAGCATGGCCGTTTGGGGCCGAAACATGTTGTGCTAACAGCGAGGCAAATGTGAATGAAGACATACATAGTTACATAACTGACGGAAAGTTGCGTGTAAACAAGGGCGAACATATGTAAGCTGTCTGTGGCTTTATGAGGTATGTGATTTGCTTTGACTGCCCTGGCTCAGTAAAGCGTAATTAGTTCTTTTGCAGGGTGAAGTGCAGCTACAATTTCGATGATCGGGAATGCCCTAAATATGTTACACAATTCACGATGCCCAGACGTACATGACAGTGATTTATATGCTTTCTATTTTTAAGTCCGACGTAGTAACGTTTGCAACATACACGTGGCCATTATCACAGATACAGAATGCATCATATCGCAACTTATATAAGATTTAAACGTTTGTGACGTTGGTATATTAATACACTTACTGACTTTTTGGACATTGCCCGTCGTACTGTTTTTATTTAAAAGCAGAGTTTTGCAGACTGGACTATGTCTCCGTCCTCAGGTAAAAGCCTACAGAAATGAGCCCAATCGATGGAGCTGGACACCAGAACCAGCACGAGGCAGGATATACGCGGGCTATTCGGAAAGTAACCTCCGTTAAGCCGTTAAAAACACAAACAATGAGACAAACTAATGTTATTATATTGTCACGTGTATGAGTGACTATAGACGGGAGTTTGGATTGGTAACTGGATTTACTGAACACTTAGACACACAACTCGTAACTACAAGTAACCATAGCGCCATCGCTAGACTCCATACTCCTCGTTAAGGAGTTGGATAACAGAGCAAATTTCGCAGCTGATGGGATTATCAATTGCAGGACACATCATAACTCACTCTGTAGAGACAAGAAGAAACACTAGGTGACCAATTATGAGATGGTTTAAAGGCAATGTGTATTGTGACGCCACCCCGCTCCTACGGGGGCTACAAACAACCCTCTTATAAACCGAAAACAATCTACTCTTTTTACGTTACCTTAAGTTATTAATACTGACTCTTACTTCTGGTTTAATAATTTGTAAGTTCCAATCTGGTAAAATTGTTGACAACGAGGAATTTTCCCTATTACTTCACCCAAATTCTTATGACTTCTCTGAATTCTAAGGTTAGAGTCCTGAGAAGGCAAAAACTTCCTCTAGTCTAGCCTGCTCTCACTAAGAATGCCAAAGTATAAGACAAGTTATCCTCAAGGCGCGGAAAGGCATGGCAATTGTTTTAAGTAATTCGACAATAACTGGACCAAGTTTAACCAAGTTTTAGAGCAGCGAACTAGAAAAATCAGTACAGTGCTGCAATCACGTAAAACTACCTACCTGATGATGAACCTGTGAGCTCGAAACATGTGATAGAAGTAAAAGTAAAAAAAGTAAAGTAAAGGTATCCCTGTACCAGGCCGTGAAGGCCCATAGGGTTGTCAGACGTTGAGGGTCCCACACTATCTAGACAATCGGCTCAAAGATGGCGGTAAGGTTGTCAGCCTTACGCGCCGGCCGGCCTTTACCCCCAAGAATATTCCTGGTACTCATTTCTGTTAGAGGCTGAGTTGACCCCAGGGCCATAGTGCGGCTGGAAGGATTAGGTAACTTGAAAAAAAATCCAATGACTTCATCGGGACTTGATCCCACGACTTTCCGCCTTGTAGCATAGTGCCTCAACCAACCACGCTACCGCGTGCCCCGTGATAGAGGTAACATTTACAAAAGTGGCATTGTAACACACCAACAGTCTGCGAGCACTACAAGAAGGTGCACCTTCAACACTGCCCCTGAAAATTAAATCCTCACTTCAGATGTTTCTGCTGTCATTTTGTATTCCTTTCTCAGAACTTCAATGCGATTAACACGTTCCTCTCATCTCATTCTTCCTGGTTCGCTAAACCTACTGAAATTTGGTGAAGAGTTTGTATTGCACAGATACGAACCAAAGGTAAAATACTTTAATAACCTATAGTCTGGATCCCAATTAACTTATTAACTAACTCCATGGAGGTGAGTTCTCAAGCCGCCAGTTTCCCAGCTTTTCAAGAAAGTCCCAGCGTCTTCCTAGTGACATCTTTCCTTCTCGCTTTCCCACCTAAACACTCTTCTCCCTCATGCATGCTTCTTGATCATTCTAATCATGCGTGGCGAAGTGTACGAGTGCAAGTTATGAACATTTTCTCCAACCGCCTATTATTTAATCTGTCTTTGGCCCAGATATCATCCTCAGCAACCCGTCAACAAATATCCCTAGACTACCTCCCAGTACCAAATGTAATTGAACTCTCCAGGATCTACAGTAATTTCGGCAATGAATCATGCGAAGAGAGGAGTATGACTGCACCAGTCAGCCATCGCCCATTGCGCTGTCCGCTTTGGATGCGGGTCGCACATTATGCCGTGTGGAAACAAAAGTTTCAGTTTAACTTTATGTTTTTTTTGGGGGGGGGGTAAAAACGAAGGGCCAAGCATTACGAGCCGGATTTTAATCGGTTGAAATTCATTTTTAGGTTACAAGATGTTTCAATTTTGCCAAAAGACAGAAATTACTGAGCCATTACATGTAGCTGTCATGTCGCAAGAATAAATTGGTGAGCAAGAGAATACTGAGCCATTACATGTAGCTGTCATGTCGCAAGAATAAATTGGTGAGCAAGAGAATACTGAGCCATTACATGTAGCTGTCATGTCGCAAGAATAAATTGGTGAGCAAGAGAATACTGAGCCATTACATGTAGCTGTCATGTCGCAAGAATAAATTGGTGAGCAAGAGAATACTGAGCCATTACATGTAGCTGTCATGTCGCAAGAATAAATTGGTGAGCAAGAGAATACTGAGCCATTACATGTAGCTGTCATGTCGCAAGAATAAATTGGTGAGCAAGAGAATACTGAGCCATTACATGTAGCTGTCATGTCGCAAGAATAAATTGGTGAGCAAGAGAATACTGAGCCATTACATGTAGCTGTCATGTCGCAAGAATAAATTGGTGAGCAAGAGAATACTGAGCCATTACATGTAGCTGTCATGTCGCAAGAATAAATTGGTGAGCAAGAGAATACTGAGCCATTACATGTAGCTGTCATGTCGCAAGAATAAATTGGTGAGCAAGAGAATACTGAGCCGTTGCATGCGGTTGTCAAGCCGCAAGAATAAATTGGTGAGCAAGAGAATACTGAGCCATTAGATGTAGCTGTCATGTCGCAAGGATAAATTGGTGAGCACGAGATCTTGTACTTATTCACGTTCAACCGGTATCTCGGAGCCGTAATCTGCACTTTCATAGGTCAGAACCTTTCCCATGGCCCCTGCTGGCCTGTGACACAGGACTGCCAGTGCGCCACTGTGGTCTAGGCACAGTTGAATCGTATCACTGCGAGCGAGGTGGTGTAAACCATTGCTGCTATTGTCACTGCAAAGTGAAGGCACTGAAATCAATATGAATGGGACCGCTGTTGTCACAACCAGACAAGGCAAACTGAGGGGCAAAAGGGTTATGACAGCCAATGGAGTCGCATACTACAGTTTCAAAGGCATCCCTTATGCTAAACCTCCTATTGGAGCATTGAGGTTTAAGGTAAGTAGCGTTTTACATGAACTACATAAGAAATTTACAACCACTCTTCGGGAGAAGAAATTCCATGAATTTGTGCAAGTGTTCAGAAAACCTTCCATTCAACTTCCCTCACTCAATTCAATCTAGTCTATAATTTCAAACTCTATTCCTCCAAGATCGTTTCAGCAGTGTCCTTCCATCAAAGTCTTTAGGTTCCCAACTAAAATTGCATACTTATCTTTTTACTCTACAACATAATCTCATTAGGTGAAGAATGCAAATATTTACGATCTTCACTCTGTAATTTTCGCCATTCTCCTGCTGCATTCTTTTCCATCTCTACTTAAACGAACAGGTTAAATAAGACAACATGTAAAATAATTACCGGTCATTTAAATACGAATATACATGGTGCAATGTGGACTCTTGTGGCTACTGAAATAGACCTTGGATTTGCAAAGAAGGGGGGGGGGGGGGATTTCTTGTCCACCACAGCGACTGTTAGCTTCCCAAGATGGGCTGTGCCCAGTGGACGTCGTTACACCCTGCGGTACAGATTCACACCCATGCTCCATTATTCACGCATACCACGGAGATATTGCAGGTTCGGTTCCAGAACACGCCAATAAAGCGAGTCACACGAAATTTTTGGCTTCCCAATGCATATAACATTTATGTTTACACTATACTGCAGTCTATGAAGTGTGTAATTGCATTATGTCTGAAGAAAACAATACCTTCATTATAAAGTACTTTCCTGCTAAAAATGCTAACCATCATCTGAGTTTTCAGTGAGTCGTAATCTTTTTCCTGACGGCTGCTGAGGTTTGGGGTGGCTGTGGCAGTTACTTAAAATGAGGCAACAGTGAAGTTTGCCGGATCAACTGACTTCCTTTCATGACAGTTTTCTCTGTAGCATGCGACGCTGTTTGATAGCAGCGGCCCAAACATTTACAATAGTAGCATCAAAGATTACTGATCACAGATCACCATAACAGATATAATAATACTGAAAAGTTTGAAGTATTTCGAGAAGTATCAAAATGTGACAGAGACATGAAGTGAGCACATGCTGTTGGAAAAATGGCGTCGATAGACTTGCTGGACGCAGGGTTGCCACAAACCTTCAATTCGTAAAAAGAAAACGCAATATCTGCGAAGCGCAATGAAACGAGGTAAGCCTGAATTCCAGAATTTGCTTAAGATAAAGTCATGCACAAACCCGCAGCCTTCCATGGCTTCCTGCTAATGCCAAACAGTTGAAATATGGCCAAGGAGAAGACTAAACGCCCGTAGTATTGGTAACACATGAATCCATGATTAGTACGACACTTTCCAAAATGATTCCAGAATTATTCCACAACATTAATAATAATTAATATTCTGTCAAAGCCTAATCGTGTGAATAAAATGATAAAAATAAGAATATCTGAAAGGTACACAGAAGCACCATTTCAATGATAACTGTCATCATGATTTTTACAAACATTGGTACAAAGATCGATTCGCTTTACGGCAACTACAATGAATATTGCCAATATTTTGAGCAGCATTTAATGTATTCGACGTTTCGGGAGTTGACACAAATCTAAAACGAACTAACGAATTGCAGAAGGTCCAACGATTGGCCGACTGATTTTTACGTTATTTAATGACACTGCCTCGACTACAGAGGATACACAGCTTTTAATCAGTTGGAAATATGATTACGAATATTAAGTAAATAATTATATCATTTGCAAGTGCGCCTAGAGGAAGAGGCGCATATTTCAAATATTTCAGTCACAAGAGCAGTAACCCGACGAAGGTCTGAACCTGGTGCCTCAGAATACAGTTGAAATGTAGAACATTACGGCAGTACCAATGTGCTTGGTGTTCGCGGTGTGTGTTTGTGGGTACAGTAACAACCTAACACCTGAAGACGGGAGTACAGTCACGTGAATAACAACAAGGATAGTGTCAAGCCTACAGGTACAGAAAAATAAAACATAAGAACTGTAAATAACAGATTAGTTCAAAGTGTGACAAAATACAGGCGCATGATTTCAGCAGAACAACAAACCAAGCAGATTAATTCTGGCGTCCATTTCTCACCCTTCCATCTTCAGTATAAATAACTAAGCGAGAAATGACAAAATGTTGGCATGGATGTTTCTGCGCGGTAATTTCAGGCCTTGATAATTCAGTATTCCATGACGTCATGTTCATTTTTTTCTGTAGATGATTCATCGCTGCTAGTAATTATATTCCCACCCCAAATACAGAGAAGTCTGGACACCCAGATAGCGATAACAAGAGATAAACTGGTTAATGCCAATTTCTTCTATCCGAGAAATAAATAAAAGGCCGTCTCACAAAGAGCGCTGGTGGCGCCTCTGTGGCTCTAAGAACAATAACATACAAGACATTATCAACTAAAGAACTACGCGCAGAACAAACTGTCTGTGAATAACAGGCAGAATGGAGAGCACTGCTTCCTGTTGGCGGGTTTTGATGTTCATATTGACACCCGACAGTGGAGAGGTTTGGCAGCCCTGAGAAAGTAGAGACAGAAAATTATTCTCTTATCTCGAGGGAAAAACGTATTCAATGTTATGAAAAAGTCATAGGACTTAGGAGAAAACGAATAGTAGAAAAGTGAAGAGGACTATGCAAGGCGAGTCCTCACAATTCATACTCCAGATAATGGGAAAGCCCGGCCATGTAACACACGTGGGCTGAACAAGAATGTATGCAACAGTACGCCTGTCATACCTCAAGCTAAGGCGATACCTACGAATAGATGGGAGGGTAATACTAAAACTGATCTGACAGAAATAAGTAATAAATTATGTTAATTCTATTTAATTGTGTCAGGATAGGGTCGAATGAATTTATTTTTAATTTAAGTGTAAAAATTCATAGAAACGCATCCAGTTCTTTAAATAAAAAAATACTTGGGCTGCAAGTCCATGATTGCAGACCATCTGCATAATAATGAAACTGCAGCGTACTCTTTTCTGGTATGTGATGACGTGTAGACGGTAGGAATATACCGACGTTTCGGAGGAGCATACTCACTCCATTCTTCAGGGTTGAAGAATAAGTCAAGTAAAAATCCAGCAAGAAGAGCTTCTTGCTCGGCTTATTCTCGGACTATGAAGACGAGGGCTGTACGTTCCTCCGAAACGTCGGTAAACTTCTATCGGACTAAATGGCGTTACATTCTAGAGACAGTAATCTTCATAGTCACCCTTGAGTGGTAGACTGATCCTCTGACATTTGTACATGAACTGCGACTTCCCTGTGCAGCGTGTAACACTCCTAGAGAGCTCTATAGTTACATAATTGCATCATTTAAGGCCCCGCAGGAGCCGGAACCGTGGCTTGGCGTGCGTGACGCCCTAGCTGATGGAGCGCCGTGTCCGCAAATAGACGAAGTGTTTAAGGAAGACTACAAGGGTGACGAGGACTGCTTATTCCTAAACGTTTATTCGCCTCAAGTAAGTTTAGATTCACAAGAGTATCAGAGTTCTGTGATAAGCTCTGCTATATGATCTCAATGCATGACTTAGACATTATAGTGCATACAGCGATCTAAAGTCTGTGAGGGGTTTGCCAACCTGAAAACTAAAATTACCTCTGTGAGAACTGAGCATATTCCGCCGTACGTATTAAACAGCCAGTCAATCCAATATACACATACACTTCTGATCTGAGACATATATCGCAGGCTTTCTATGAAAGTAAATCCAGAAATCGTGAGAACGATGCTTATTATTCAACAGCTTTCCGCCTTGGACTAAGTATTTCCCGCAAAAAGCCTTCCACCCATCTTTAAATTTAAGAATGCCGTCTTCAGGGTTGTGGCATCGTGTAGACGTCCCTCCGATACGTCGATTCACACAAGATCTTCATAGTCACCGCTGTGAAAACCTTAAAACTTACAATCATGTCTAACAACGAAGCCAACAAATACGGACCCTGTCAAAACAGAACTTAAGAAAGCAGTCTTCTGGGATTTGGCACCGTGTATATGTGGTGTTAACCGACGTTTCGGAGGAACGTATCGCCTCCATCTTCAGGGTAGAAGAAAAAATATATAGGAAATCTGCAAGCGGAGAGACCGTGAGAACCGGTAAAAGTCTGCTTGTAAGTTTGCAAGTCATTGTAAGGGACTGAAGAATATCACGAAACGCCTGCCAGAATAACTGGCCTCCTTGCCGATATTTGAACCCGTGACCAGCAGAATACAAAACAGGATCCTTTATATTACGAAATATAAAACGTTTATAGTGTCTCCTGGGAATTGATAAGTCAGGTACACGTGTACACGTGATTTGTGAGAAAGAAAATGAAATGAAGTTAGCTTTTCTCAGGTTCTCATTCGAAAGTGACCAAGTTACACACTGAAAATCTTTGCGAGTTTTATTATTCAAGCATTTAAGCATTGAATATGCAATTTATTTTTACGACAAAATGACAGTTTCAGAATAGTAATGATTATTATACACCTCCTACTGAGAACTTTTGTTGCATTACATGACTGAAATTCTACTACAGTTTTATTTGTTTTTTCTCTTCAGATACCAAGTTGGGCGAAGTGCACACTAAGAGCTGTTATGGTGTGGATCCACGGAGGGGCCTTCTGCTCCGGCAGCGTCTGCACCAGCGTCTTTGGCCCACAGTTCCTTATCGAGAAGGACGTGGTCCTGGTGACCATGAACTACCGGCTCGGAGCTTTGGGTAGGACACACAATTAAGTGACTTGAGAAGTTAACAGCGGCTCAGTTAGTACGTTATGGGGCCCGAAGGTTCATAACCCTTTTCAAAAGAGCCTGCCGCTGAACCTTATCATGAGTCAGATACTTCCATCCTACTGTTCTGTTACGCTGTTATTCTCCCAACTGTGCTAGGTCTTCAGGCGGTGTTTCTCCCTCACCCTTGCCTACCCCGACTTCATGCGATACTGCATAGAGTACAGTGGAATAATAAATATATTTGAGCATGGGGAAATGTTTTTACTTCCAATTAACGCTGTACAATGCATTAAAGGCAGTTGATTTGCGAGATTTTGGGGCTGCATCATAATTTATGCTTGAAGGGAATTTCGTGCCTGTTCGGGGCTAGGAGTAAGTGATTTTGATGACATTTTGCCCTGAGAAACCATTTAAGAGGAAACTTACGTATCGTTGTACTAGTAAGCGCTATAAGTTGAACAAGCAGTGAAATAGAAACGTAAGTTGCCGAAAGACTACTCTCATATGCCTTTACAAATTTTCTTTGTCTTGTCAAATGTTGTTCTTTAAGTGTCGGAAAATTTAAAGGGCGTTGTGCCTTATCTTGAGGAACTGGAAGAGCAAATTTTGGGATATTTTACAGCTCACGCCCTTACAAATCAGCTGAATATGAGACCGTGCTAGCTCATGGTTACTTTTATTTTGCAAAATAGCACAAAGAACCACATCATCTGTAATTTCAGTGAGCATACAGTCACGTGTTGCACAGGGTTCCTGAGCACTGGAGACTCCGTTATTCCCGGTAACAACGGCCTAAAGGACCAAGTGATGGCTCTGCGTTGGGTGCAGCAGAACATTGCGCAGTTTGGAGGTGATCCTGACAATGTCACCCTCTTCGGTGAGAGCGCTGGAGGAACTTGTGTTCATCTCCACCTTCTGTCTCCGATGTCAAAAGGTAAGCTACGCTGCAGTTAACCAACTGTTGTAGGGAGCTTCTAAATGTTGACATGTTAGTACATCAATTCGGGCTCCTTACAATTGCACAAGCATGAGAATTTGTAACAGTTAACAGCATTTAGCAGAATCCTTGTTGAGAATCCAGCAGACGCTGGAATATCACCTTTACAGTAGCTCGATGGTGAAATCTCTCCAGAACCAGATTAATCCAGATTTGAGGTTTTCACGGCGGTGACTATGATGAAAGCAGGTGAGCAACTGCTCGCGCTGGTTCCTCGCTCGCAGATTTTCTTCTACCTTGAAGATGGACACGATATGTTCCTCCGAAACGTCGGTCAACACAATATCTACACGGCGCCACATCCCAGAAGACTGCTTTCTTCAGATTAATCCAGTTTGCACCTTCATATGCTGTGGATCTAAGAGCCACTATAATATTATCATTCTATCTATGTTTAGATCTCTCAGGAACGCCTTTCCTTCGAGTTTTCCAATTAAATATTCTGCATTCCTTTTCGTTCCCATGCCTGATACATACCCTATCCATCTGTTTCTTTCTGATTTTATCATCTGTTAATATTTTATGAACAATGCGATAAAAACACAGACGCTGCCTTCCCTGCATCTTCAGTTAGAATTTAAGATTTTAAAATTTTGTGTAAACACGGCGGCCTTGCATACAATGGTGCATTCTACTGCGCAGGTCTGTTCCACCGCGCAATCGCACAGAGTGGGTCCTCTCTAAACCCGTGGAGTTTTGACAGAAAGCCTCGTCTCAGGGCGTTTAGCTTCGGAGAGGCCCTGGGGTTCAAGACGGATGATTCCCAGAAGCTGGCTGATTTCCTGCGTACAGTTCATCCGAAACTGCTTATTGAGGCTGTACCACAAGCCAGGAAATTCGAACCGGTAGGCCGATATTCTTCCTCTCTATAAATATTAGTGATTAATTAGTTAAGTACAGGGACAAATTTACCCTTCTGTCATAAAATACTTGTGTTAATGTACAAAAAATAATCCATTTCCGTATTTTGGTGTTTGTTTTGAGAAGGCACCGGTTAGTTACACAAGAAACTGATATATCCTATGGAAGCCAAATGTGAATTTCCGTGTTCACATGAGCCGACAATGGATTTTATCTTTAGCGACTCTCACATCCTGCAACTCCAAGACGTATTTTGATACCCTTCATCTGCACACATGTAATGTCTTCTCTTCAGGAGTCTGTATAGCGACTGGTTACCGGCTGGACGGCCGAGGGGTTCAAGTTCGAGTCCCATTAGTGGAAAGAATTTTCTCCTCTCCAAGTCGTCCAGACGGGCTCTGGGGTCCACTTAACCTAACCTATTCAATGTGTACCGGGGACTCTTTTCCTGGGAAATAGTGGCCGGGGCGTGAAGCTGTCCACTCAACTCCAGCTAGTGCCGAGGTCAAGAAAATGTGGATCTATACATCCACTTTCCCCTACGCTGTCATGGTATAGAGCTTAACTGGTTAGACACAGGGACAACTATACCTTTACTATATTTCATGATATGGGGCACGTGGTAGGGTACTTGGTTGAGGCAATATGCTACAAGACGGAAGGTTGCGGGTTCAAGTACCGATGAGGTCATTGTTTTTATTTCAATTGACCTAATCCTTCCAGCCGCACTATGGCCCTGGGGTCGAATCAGCTTGTAACAGAAATTAGTACCAGGAATTAATTAAATAATTTTCTTGGGGAGTGAAGGGCGGCGGGCACGCAAGGCTGACAACCTTACTGCCATCTTTGAGCCGACTGTCTAGATAATGTGGGAACCTCAACGTCTCACAAGCCTATGGGCCTTCACGGCCCTATCAGAGGGATACCTTTACTTTCTTACTTACTATATTTTATGATATGGTAATACAGCAAGGAAGTTAGTAGGCGAAAACAGGACTATCAGTGCTTGCAGACATGTGGCTGAACTGAAGGAGAAGACAGCCGAACAGAAATAAGTTACCTGATGAGCAAAATACAATCGAACATACTCCGCCATTATAAGAGGAAAGTTATATCAATCAGACCTACTTATGACTTAATTACGTAAGTATAATTACCTAGAGCCAAGAGTTAGGTTTTATTATTCACGTTAAGCGTGACAGAAATTCTCACTAGGCACAGAATGATCAAAGCTCAATTGCAGGAACGGGACCTAGGAATTACATTCTTCAAACCGACCAGCGAGCCTAGAACTTCCACCGAAGATGTGTTTCTGCCAGACCGTCCCGAAGTTCTAATGGCAGCCAGGAAGTTCCACAAGGTGCCTCTCATAACTGGTGCAGTGGAAAATGAAGGGATATTTGCAGTCAAAGGTGGGAATCATTTTAGTCATCTGTGAAAACTTTCCAGAGATATAGGAACACGTGTAAAGAAAAAAGAAAAATCGCTTGATTCAGCATGTTATATATTCAGTCGCGGTTTATTTTCTGTGAGAGAGAAATGGGTTAAATAAATATTACTTAACATTATTAATATTGCTTTATCCAAACATGCAAAGTTTAGCTTCAAATAACTCAAATATATATTATTTTTATCATGTTATATTTAGCTGACGCAACGTTCTCCTAAGCAGACGCAATAGCATGAAGCTCTCATAGACCTGACATACCGAGATGTTTCCTTCATAAACTGCTGACAACGTTCAGCTCAATGCGGCGTCATGCACGACGGATCGACAGTTTCTTATCACAACTGATCAATCTCCATGGGATTTTATTTTGATATGAGAGATAATATTTTCAAAAGGCTTCAGTTCATGTACTTCAACAAGAGACACTTTTTGCCGGGTATTTAAAAAATATGACTGAAATGAAAATATGTGTGGATATTTCAAAATTCTCATGAGAGACCAAAACCCTTCAGAGGTTATCATGGTTCCCTTAGGCACACGGCTGACGACCCCTGTCTTAGACTTTCAGATATTAAATAAGTAATTCTTTAATATTTCTGACGAAAATGCTTACAAAGTTTTCAGTGTTTTGTATATTATCCAACCTTCTAGTTTTCATTTTTATACAACATGAAACTTTCAGGTATATCAGAAATAACGGAACCGAGTCAGAGAGAGAGTTAATTTCCCTGCCCCCCGCAGTATGTGCGCTACTGGAGTCTGGCTTTTGGTGCCTAGTGACACACAGATCTGTAATGGACCCTTATAATCACGTTCTTCACAGCCCGGTCTGTCAGTTAATGGAAATTCCCCAAACACTGTGTTCTACATAGAAACACAAAGGAGACAAGGGGTACCCAACAGTTAAACACAATAAAATTATGTTTATGGCATTTTATTTTTCAGAGGTGATAGAAAAGCCATCACTGATAAGCCGTTTCAATGGACGTTTCGAGTTACTGGTTCCGAAAGAATTGAATTCTAAGAAAAATCCAGACAAGTACCAAGAAGATGTTGGCAGGATAAAGAAGTTCTACTTCGGAGACGAAGCTATATCCAGGCAAAATCTTGAGCGCTATATCGCAGTGAGTTTGTATTCACTTACTATGACACGCACTTATAAATACGTAGTGCCAAAAGATGTGTCACAGAAACAGTTTCTAACGGACAGAATTACTGGGCTTTTGGACATTTTCCATTGACCGGTATTCTAGAAAACAGATAAAACGACGTTTCGGAAACTGGATCTGTTTCCGTAGTCAGGTGAGGTGGGGGGAGACACTGGACAGTGATTGGGATTAGCTCTTTCTAAGGGGCCCAAATGAGTAGGTGTCTTCCCCCCTCACCTGAGGATGGTAACAGCTTCAGTTTCTGAAATGTCGTGTTTCTGTTTTCTAGAATACCGGATGATGGAAAAGGTCCAAAAGCCCAGTAATTCTGTGTGTTACACAGCATCGTCAGAACCCTGTAGAATCTAAGTTCTAACGGAGTTGAAACGTCATGTACTTCTTGTTGAACTGATCCTAGCGAAAGGTAGAAAACTGCAGTTGGAAATTAGAACGTGTAAGGTTTCTGTAGCCTAGAGGAAAGCTAATTACTGCCCCAACTTACAAAACGGAAGACGAAATTGACTGTGGCAGTTGCAGGGGCCTCTCTTTCACCGTTTTGAAGCGCTGTTCTCTGTGCACAAGGTGCTTCCTAGCGCTCATTCTGTTGAAGTAAGTCAACTACTTATGGAATTTGTTTTGCAGGCAACAGATAATGAAGGAAAGAATGTGGCTATCTATCTACGGCTCTACAGCCCTTGTGAACCTTGACCGCTTTTGCAGTTTCTTAATCTATACACAGACGGTAGGACTCTTCGGACGGGGGTCAGCTCGTTACAAGGCCGCTACCTACACACATAATAAACGCACACAGTCTAGTGTGGATTCGAACCCACGATCCTAGTGTTCGAGGGGACGAAGACGGTTCATGCCTTAGACCGCGAGGCCAGTATGAAAGGCCAACAATGGGGCTATTAGAGATGAATGCGCCGCATGTTTATAGATCTGAAAATTTCCTCCGACTCGGTTAGGATAGAATCACTGTGTAACACTACAACTAGGTCTCGAATGTCCAAGAAATCAGATGGGTCTAAAAGCACTACAGATGAAGAGCATCTGACGCATTTCCAGTTTCCAGTGCACTGAAACGAGGGGTTGCTTCACTATCGTTGCTTTTTAACTGTGTTGTAAAATATATTATGGAGGAATTTTCAAGGGAGTTAAGAGCTCGAAGTGGATAGCCGAAAGCAGGAAAACCTGGCTGCATTTTCTATGAGGATATGAATATCATAAGAAAGTCATAAATTTTTTATAGGCTAGCAAAGTGACTGATCTACAAGTAAATAATAAAACGCTAAATATTAGCCTTAGGTTCAAGCAATGAAAGCAAGTTTTATAACAATATCATAATGTAGCTGTTAGTAACAAATAATTTGGGAATGCTTCCAGATATTAATATTTAATAACAACATTGTCTAAGAACAGAAAATGAGGGTCATGATGAATTACGGAAAAAATACACGGTTGAAGTGTGAACGTAAATGATACAGAAGTGATATCAGGAAATGTCTAAGGGCAAGAACAATGTAACAAGCAGGAAATGTATTATAAAAGGTTTAAAGGTTATAAAAGGTTTATCAGACACACCGGACGGAGCTGATAACCTTTTATAATATTGCTAGCGTGACGGACCAGGGCGAATCAAATCAAATTCAGGAAACGTATCGTTAGATAGGCCAACGAGGAAGTACGCTATAACGGTCACGCTCCAAATATAGCGACATGGTAACCTCTGCCTTCAAGGACACAACCAGCTTCGAGCTCCACAGAACACTGCGTCAACATCTGAGTCCTTGTCTTAAAAATCAGGTTTTCTTTTTATTGCTAGTGGGGTGGGACTGAGTCGCTTGTACTGCGGCCACTGCTGGCCTATTGTACCAGCCCCAGGTGATAGGTGAGGGTGATTATGGAGCAATTGGTGGAATGAAGATTGGCAAGGGAAACCGAAATACTCGGAGAAAACCTGTCCCAGTCTCACTTTGTCCACCGTAAGTCCCACATGACCTGACCCGGGCTCGAACCCGGGCCGCCGCGGTGAGAAGCCTGAGCTATGGGGCGGCTCTCTCATTGTCGCTTACTCAACTATAGGAATGCACCTGGAGGATACTTCGAGTATCCCAACGGGTGAAAACTGTGTTATAGCAGGAAGTTATACTTTAGGCCAGACTGACAAAGATCAAAATCATACACAGAAAAATGGGAGTGCAATAGAAGAACGTGAAGTGCCGAATTATATAAAATATTTCAACTAAATTAAAAGGACATTTAAATCCATGAACATTTAATAAACTCACATGCATGACAGTATTTATATTTCGACAAACACTGTCAATTTTATTCTCATGACCTTGTAAATTATCTCAGATTGGACTCAGTTAACTACTGTTTTACCTACGTCACTTCATGATGAGAAACTTCATGAGAAACAAATTTCTTTCTAATGTAAGTTTGTGCGACAGGCAATCTTATGATTCACTGTTGCTATTATAGGATGGCTAGGAACGCAGGTCGGATAGAAGTGCCATAAATTAATGCAGGATTTCAGTAGAAAGTTGTGGCGGAAATATTCAGAAGGATTTTAGGGAAGTGGGTTCCGAGTATGGGAGGCGGAAGCTTTCGATATCCATGATGATGACGTCAGGGTTCTACTCTCAGAATGTTGGTTAGCTCACTTATCTGTATGTTGCTACAACAGGAGGTGTAAACTGCACATATTCCTATTTATTCTTGAAGTTAATTTGCAGCTGATCGGCCACACTAGAAAACATTTGCTTCTTGATTCTTACTCTACGACAGATAAAGATCCAGAATAAAGAATAATCTTATCACATGTGTGCTCAAAGTAGGAACTGTGGAGCCAGGAGAAACAGACATTGCTACGCAACCTCTGTATAAACACGCAACAACACCAGAGCCATCGCTATGCAACGTGCGCGCGCAACAATGGAGGAACCGCTCGTAGCGGTGTTTACTCTGCGATCCGTGCCGAGACTATATATAGAGTTGGCGAGACCCAGCAGCAACTGGTACTACAAACGTAGGGCCTACACAGGAAGACCCCACTTCTAAAAACGTGCATGTCTAAGGTAGGCCGCACACCGGCATGCGTCAAGACATGTAAGAGTCAAGACACGATGTCTGCGACATGACGCAAAGAAAGGAGCACAGTTGAAACTAATGAGATTAAGAAAACCGAAGCACACCGGTCTCAGTCATGATGCTGACATCAGCTTCATGCTGACCAATCACGAATGAAATAATCCTGAGTCTTTTGTCTCATGCCTTGATGCAGTTGGTGTGCGGCCGCCCTAAGAGATAACAGAAATTTTGGTCATGGAACTTTACGAGACCTGAAGCTAGGAATTACTGTGCTGGCTAAGACCAGCATCAATGTAACCGACCTATCGACCGAACAACCGACCGGCTGTTGTATATAAGTAATAAATATCTAAAGAATATATAGAATATGAATAATAATGTTTGCTCCCAGTTTGAAATTGTATAAAACTGAGACAGTCTTTAAGACTGTATTCTTGTTTCCAATTTTCAGATCCGAATGTATTTATTTAAAGTACGCCTATACAGAAGCCTCATCAAAATGTTTAACAGACATCAGAACAACACAGAAAATCACTGCACAATTTCTCAATATACAACGACTGTTAACCTGTATCTGTACAGTAAGGCGTAATTCTCATTACAGCTACTTTAACAAGCGTCTGAAGGTGCAGTTTCTAGTGCATTTACTCTCATTAGTAGATACATGTGTAGATATGTCCACGTGCAGATGTTCATGCGTACGTTTCCAGATGAATGGAGACATAATGATCCTGAATGGCGTCTACAAGCAAGCGAAGATACATTCAGCGCTCTCATCGGCGCCCGTCTACTTCTACATCTTCACCTTCGATGGAAAGAGAGGGCTCATGAAGAGGGCTGTTGGGGGCAGTCGATTTCGAGGTTCGTTTTGCTTACAAACCTTGCCTGAATTTCCATATATTTCTAAGTGACACGAACATTACCGAAGACTGCCTCTGTATTTGAGGCAAACACAGGGTGTTACATAAATATCGATACATATTGAGTGTAGTGTTCTTGGGCGATCAGTCCTGTCAATGCGGTGTTGGTCTCCGGCGTTTCAGGGACAAATCTCTGTTTTCATCATCAGGAAATGGTGTGACGAGCGGCCTCTCAGTTATGTTGCAAGTCAATCTGCGGACATCAAAGTCACTTCAGCCAATTGGGCGCCCCCGTGCCCAATCATATGCGGGCCATGGAGCTCGCTTGCCCAAGGTTGCTCAGCACAGTCTGGTGCTACTCATATAAGTAGGCCTAAATAAATATCTTGAAATTACGTTACATGTAAGGGGCTCTGAATTATTTATAAATAAGATTAAAAGAAAAGACACGCATATTCGAAAGAGAATTTTCGCTGCAATAACGTCGGAGCAGTTCGGAGGAGAACAGTAAACTTGCATTCTCTTCCAAAAACTCTAGAGCAATTGAGACCAGGCTAATGTTTCCAAGTGTGTGCTGCACGATACCAGGCAGGCCTATGCAGGGTTCAGTAGTGCCAGTGATCTGGCAATCACAGTCGATAGATCCGTATGAAGAGGACTTTGTATGATATGATGAAGGGAAAAAGACTGTTGTTTACAATAACGAGTCTTTGCTCCTAAGGCGCTCCGAGAAAAGGATGTGTGTGGCTTTGCGGTGAAGACTTTCTGCAACTGGAGAAAAAGCAAAGCATGAGAAGGGCAGGATATGAGGAATATAAATTCCTACACAACTGAAGTTGTAAAACCAGAAAGAGAGAACTTCTCCTTGATGGAAGATTAATATTGAAATAGATCTTAACGAAAAATGCGGAAGATTAGAGACTGGATTCATCTGGCTCAGGATAGGACCCAGCAGTGGCTCTTGTCATCACGGTACTAAACTTTCGGGATCTATAAAATACTGTGAATTTCTTGAGAGGCTGAGCGACTGTACGTTTCTGAAGGACTGAGCTCCACAGAGTCAGTGAGTAGACTCCGCGACACTGCAGTTACAAGATGAGCCACTGAACGCACTGCAAAACCGACTCCGAATAGATGCGCGCAAACAAACACAAACAGAACCACAGTTAATATACAGCAAGTAGCAATAAAATACATAGACTTATTTACGTTGTGCCTATACATATATTTGGAACATTACACGGAGATTCTCTCACATGTCTTGTTGTTTTCAGGACCGTGTCATGGTGACGAACTGCCGTATATTTTTCACGTCGACATGCTGAGAAAGATGGACCCTAAATCACCAGAAATGCGAACCGTGGAGCGGATAGTCAGACTGTGGACTAATTTTGCGAAAACAGGGTAATGTGAATAGTAAAAATCCTCCAGTATATCACACCATGCGAATTGCGAGCCAATGGCCAAATACATGAAAGGCGCATTTCCTTTTTTCAGTGGAATGATTACGAAATAATTTTAAATATGTTTACTCTTTCTAAAATTTAAGGTATAATACTGGGCTCTAGGTGCATATGTCTTCAAACTATCATAAAATTTTCAAACTCATAATATTGTGTACATTTTAAGTTCAAAACTTAATAAATTTTTATTTTAAACCATTACATTAGATTATTTCAGGGGATATGAAATAACTGTGGAACGAAAAAAAAATCTACAATATCACGCACAGGTTCGATGAAAGTATGATAACAGTAATGAATTTAAGGGAAAAAAATAAAGTTAGAAGGATCAAAATAAACAGTAGGAGATCAATGTTACTTCCACTTGAATTCTTCGCTGTAAAAAGAGTCATTCGTGGAACGAGTCCGCACGTAGGTCTGTTCAGTAATACCCAGATGCAAATACAGTGCGAAGAACCAAACAGATTATATGGGCTTTCAACGAGGATGGAATATTTAAAAGTAACTTATTTTTATCTCACATTGTAAGTAAATAATTTAAGAAATACGCTTCACAATAAGTTTCAGTACTAAACGTGGTTCCGGACGAAGAAACATGGACTCCTTTCCCTGGATCCCGTACTGGCCTCAGTTGATCGTGATAACATTCTGTAGTTAAAGATTCATTGTTGAATGAAAAATGACTGAATTACTTAAATGCAGTTCAGCCCAATTACATCCCCTGATTTCAGGAACCCAACTCCAGACGGTGATTCGCTACTGCAAATAAAATGGCGTCCTGTCACCACTTCAGTTTTTCCATGTATGAACATCGGTCCTGCACTCAGAATTGATCATTTTCCTGAAATGAAGAAGAGAATGGAATTCTGGGATGATCTTGATGAAGAAGTGTAGATATGGAAGGGTCCAATTGAAAAGAACAACATAATTCTTCATGAAGCCCATCAAACTCGTCATGGAGTATGCATAACTGGCTTAGTCGCCTGTTCCAGGAGCCTCCATATGTAGCTTGTCTCTCATCCTTTCGTTCTAGTGCCTGCTTTGATGTTATGTCCTCATTCTGCAGCCCTTCATAAGTTATTATTACCTGCCCGGCATTCCTTGATGTGTGCCCTTTATTGGGTTTAGTTTTGTAAGGCTCACCAAAGGGTGCAGAACATTCATTTGTCCCTGTTTCCAGTATTTCGGGGTCCCTTTTCTTAAACAATTAGACCTCGCTAAAATATTTCAAGATTTCCTTTTCTTACCATGTTATGTACTTTTGAGGTTTCTGTTAACATTTCTTTGTAGTAATGTGTCTTAATGTTATTTACTGTGCTTTCTGATAAGACTGCTATTTCATTTCTATATTTCCTGCCCTAATTTCCTGCTGTTGCCATATGAATCTTTGCTCACAGGACCTGTAGGACTTTCTTGGGTAGATCAGGCTATTGTGAAGCCTCTATCTACGCAGGAAAATGGTCTCAGATCTACGCCACAAGAAGTATTCGAAACTGCAACTCTGAGGGAGAGGGCGTACCAAGGAAACTGGCAACCGACACGCAACCCCAATTCCCAAGAATTGTTATGAGCCTGACTTGAACACGTGTTACTAAATGGAGCAACGCAACCCGCGGAAGGACTGTGAAACTCAACTTCCAGGCAACGGAGTAAGCCAGTCTTCTCACAGTTGCGTTGCCGCGTGGTTTCCTAGTATCAGCCGTTCTTTAACGCGGTTCAATGATTAATTTGTTTCGTACGATGGCACGAAAGGTTGACGAAGCTGATAATTTTGTTTCTGTGCAGTTAATTGAACAAGAGCCTGGTATGCATGACAGACGCCACCCAGACTGAGAAAACAGATTTGACTTCGGAAAGAATTTCTCATGGGACGAAGGAGTCTGGATCCAGGTCAAGTTGTTTCGAAACAATGTAAACGCTTCAGTTTAAATTGTCAGGAAGAACGGATGCACCTAACGTTTTCTTTTCCTTATATTGTATTTAAGCATCATCTATTTCACATATATTTCCTTCTTAAATGCAACTTATTACATAGTCACCCTTCTTCCACATTACATGGTTCGGCTGTATACGGCCATCATCAGGTGTCTTCTGTCTTGCTAAAATTGTTGCACTGTATGTCAAAATTTTGTATCGCGTGTGAACGCGATGTTTCATGATTAAAATGAACTGACTTTAATTAAAAAAATTCATTAACATCCAGATATTTTCCTTATGGCCGTCCGCTCTTCTCACGCCGTCTCAACCGGTCTCAACCACTACCACATTGTGACAGGATCAGTATTATCTTCCATTGTAGGAGGTAAGTGCACGAAATTAATAAATAGTACAATCATGCGTTACGTCGGACGAACATACCTACTTAAAATAATATCGACAACTACTCAGACAAAGGGTCCCTGTTTGCGCCTGGTAATCTGGAAACCAGTTGCCTGCTTGAAATCAGCGATTTTTCTCGGGAATTGCGGTTGTGTTGCCGTTGCCAGTTTCCTTGGTGTTCCCTCCCCCTTTCGTCGCGAGGTCAGCGCCGCAGAGAAACACTTCCACTACTCCGAGCTGTTAAGCTTCCCCTGCCAAAGCAGTTCCTTGTTTCTCCCCAGTCGCCTCACCGATCTCTTCACATGAATGCAGCCGCCCAGAAGTTGCGAAGATTCATGCGCGAGAGCTTTTCTGACGGAGTAGGCTTGGAGAGGTGGATGTACGAGTAATGTTCTCGTATGCCTTCCCTCACTCGCTCCTCTGAGATACTGGTTACTGAGTAGCCCAAACTGCACAGCGGGTTCTTAGGCGACACTCCCGGAGCAGTGATTTACGGAGAGGTCGTATTAAACACCGAAACGTGTTTCTGAAACACAGCCACGGGTTCTTGGCCGTAGTACAGTCACAGTCACGAGACAACCTCTGCTAGCGGAAAGCGCTTTGGGCTTGCTGACATGAGGCTGGAGGGGAATAGGAAATTAGGCAGAAAGGGGAAAGTCTCATTTCAGTCGGTATCCTGTCCGAGACTCGAACCGAACGCCTCTATAATAAGAGTCTAGGCTATTACCGCTACACCAACTTCCTTGGCATGTAAAGCTTCTGTTATGCTACACCAATTACAAATTGAAATTTATTTTGCTTTATAATATATAATCCAGGAAGCCGGTCACGGTAGCCGAGCGGTCTAAGGCATGAACTGTCTTCACTCGCTCGGAAGCCGGGATCGTGGGTTCGAATCCCACACAAGGCATGGATGTTTGGTGTGTGTGCGTGTTTATTCTGTTTGTGTTGTCCTGTATTTAGGCGGAGGCCTTGCGACGAGCTGATCACTCATCCAGGGAGTCCTACCGTCTGTAAAATGATAATGAAACTAAAAATCAGAGGCCAGGGCCCAAGCGGACTGTAGAGCCACTTTAAATGTATAATCCAGGTACTAAATTGAGTCGGGATATCTTAGTCGATATAGCGACGAGCTGGGTGACCAGAATTCGAATCCTGGCAGAGGTAAGTTTTTCTCTTCTCCATAGAATCTCTGCCGGCTCTGAGGCCCACTCAGCCTCCTATCCAACGGGTACTTGGGGCGATCTCCCCGTGGGTAAAGAAACCGGGTCCATCTAGTTCCGAGGTCAAGAATGGTGGAGCTATGCCTCCGCTCTCCCGTGTGTCTTCATGGCGTGGTGCTTAATTTCTTAATTAATTTAACACAGGCACAACTTCATATTTTTTACTAAATACCAAATTTATTCGATATCAGCTAAGTTAGGTGATCTCGCTTCTTGAAGTGGAAGGAGACACAGAAGAATGAGGGATGAAGGAACACGACAATCCAGACGAGTGCTCAGAGCAGATAAAGGCCGCATAAAACGCACCCGGATGTTATTAGCATGCGCCCATCACTCAAATGGCGAAAATTGAATAGCGAAACGGAGACACGAAGAGACCCGTCGTCGGTGGCCTGCGGAAGGGCGTCGCGCCCTCCTCTTGCTGTGGTCACCGACAGGAAACAGCTGTTTCTCGTCACGCTGTCACTAGGTGAGGCAGTGTAGCGTTGAATGGTATAGTATGGTTTGCAAAGGATCTGAAAGGAGACGTAGAATCTCAGTAAACAGAGTCGGTCCCCAGGACGAAGCAGGGGTGCTATCCACTTAGCCGGGTCACCCAATCCTCGTTGTTCTTACTGCTGTACATGGCAGGATTACTGAGTTCGTTTGTGACGCGTGCAGAACTGCAACCGGCAGCGTTTCAAGTGCAGGTCCACTGTGACAGAATTTGCTTCCCCTCGGCTTATTCGTCACGATCTACCTCTGCTATGTCCATTTTGTGGTGGTTATGTTCACGATAATGGGCGTATTCTTCATAAAGAACAGATTTGGGGCCTGTCTGTTTCATACTGCAGAACTTATACCGCGTGTTCACAGCTCTCGCCTCAGTGCAGTGACAAGATTTAAAACGAGCAGAACTTTACTTACACGCCTTCATTCCACGGCAATAAATTCAACGACGTTATATTTCGCGTGACGTTAATAACAACACACAGTTCCAAAAAAAAACAGTCAAGACAGAGGTCTGTCCACGCAGACATGTAGGATATTGTGATTGTTTCTGCTGGGCAAAGGAAATTGAGAGACAGGGAAGCAACCACGAAATCGTGGGGGGGGGCATATACTACAGATTCCAGGGATCCCTTAACCAACTTACTTCTGTTTTAAATTTCTTTGGGGTGGGGTGAGACTGAGTCCACTTGGTACGTCGGCCACTCTTTGGACTGTTGTACCATTCCAAGACGATAGATGATGACTGTGGAGCAGTCGGTAGCATGAGAATTGGCATGGGAAACGGAAATACTCGGAGGAAACCTGCCCCAGTGCCACTTTATCCACCACAAATCCCACATGACTTGACCCGGGCTCGAACCCAGGCCGCCGCGGTCGGCGACTGACCGCCTGCGCTAAGGTACGGCCATGATACCAATCTGTCTGCCGGGCCACTGCACTTCAAGGTAAACTGGAGGAATACAATGAGGGGCTGCTCATTTGTGCTCTTGGACATGGAAAACCCATAATTATATACACTACTTACATCGGAACGTGATATCTGGGCACAGTGGAGTCGTGCTACTCGCGACAGTGGCCACAGGCTGGCTCTTGAGAACGTTCAGGTTCCATAAAAGGAAGGCTGGGACACTACTAGCTTCCCAAGAAGCATTCTGCTTTATGACGTTAACACAATTAGTTAAATAGAGCTTGTCAAAAACAAAGTAGGCGTAGGACCTAAGGAAACACCAGCTACGGTTGGCTCCAAATGCTCTTGATGTTCTGATGGCTCCACCTGATGGTGGCGCCACATCCCCAAGAAACACGTGAGGGTGCCACATAACCCGAAACAAATAACACTAACCAGAGCATAGCCAGAACTTTGTAACACCATACAGGCTATTACAGTCTCATACAAGCTGGTACCTCAGTTCGTGAGAAGAAAATCCAACAATGACCTGTAAATTATTTCACCCCCCCCCCACCCAAAAAAAAACAAAAACAAAGCCTGCGACTACGTACGAGCGTCAGTTTAGTTTAAAATTAAAAGTGTAAATATAATCCGCAAAAATGAAAACTTTAAAATCGGCAAATAAATCTCTGTTGCATACCGCTTCTTGTTTGTATTTGTGATTAGACAATGTTGCAGTAACACTTTTCGCCTGTACACAAGTGTAAATCGCGTGGCGCTTCTTACGTCGGCAGGATACATATGAAATGTAAAGGGAACACACTAACACGAATATAATTCATCTCATGGTCCCACAGAAGTTCACATAGATGTTGTGGAGGGGGCAGTTGGTATCCCCCCTCCCGAAACCAGCCGAACGGAGGGGCAAACTGGGTGGACATGATTGCCACTTCCATCTTCACTGCCGGCGGCTGGAGGCCAGTTTTCAGCTTGTACACCCGTGACCGCGGTTGACGTGGCTGGCCAGCATGACAAGTCGATTTTTTTGTGTGTGTAGAGTATGTATAGGAGATAAAGCATCAACAAGAAAGATAACTTTGACGAAGCATTACAGTTTTCCTTAGCAAGCATTACGATGCAGTTTTTAACCGATAAGCGGTTAGTTCCTTGCTAGAGGCAGCACACGGCTGTGGCACAATGTGAAGTTCTGCAGAAATGATACGTTACTTGAGAGCGGGAGCGGCTTCTTGAAGCGAACATGTCGGATATTGTGGCTGTTTCTGTTGCGCAAGGGAAGCTCAGAGGAAGGGAGGCGACCACGAAATCGGGAGGCACGTACTACAGCTTCCAAGGGATCCCCTACGCCAAACCGCCCGTCGGGCCACTGCGTTTCAAGGTAAGGTGCAATGTACTCTTTCTGCAGAACAAAGAACTAAGCCCGTGGTTTAAAACTGATATTTGACGCCACGGTTTTCTTGCAGAACTGTAGCGTGGCATGCCTATATAAGCATGAAATCCACAGCAGTAACCGCAGAGCCTGTGTAGAGGCTCTGAAGTCGGGAGCGACGTTTCTTTGGCGTGTATGGTCACGTGACTGCGTAACTCGGGTTAAAAAGAGAGCAGATGATTAGATTCCACTTGCCAGGCGATTAGATAGGGAGAAAGTTTGAAGCCAGTCAGAGCGATATAACTCGGAAATTGTGGCCAACACTGAAATGTAGGTATATACAAAAATGTCGGATTCATATGAGGCGACTGGGCAAACGAGAATTTGGGAAGTTGGGTTCTCCGTTTGAAACACCTTGTTAAGCTGTGAGCCGTTACGCTCAACCTCCCCCCCCCTCCATTTTTGATGCCAACAAACCTATGAATTTAATATTTTACACATGCATTGCCTCCTATTCGCCCAGTTATTTAACAGAATAATGTGAAGCCCCGTGTGACCTGGCATACCAGTTGTGACGGGAAGTGAAACTCGGTCTGACAGTTGACTGGAAACCGTTACGGTGTAGCGTGGCTGATGAGGTTCGATCCTGCACTACCAAACGCATGCAGCAAATTAAACCGTTGACTCCTGTAACGTAGAGACCAGAGTTTCTCAATCAGTGGCCCTCGGACTGCTAGCGGCCTTCGGCTTGGTTTATGCAAATTGGCGTTATGAAACATGTTACAAATAAAACTTACACCAGAGGCAGCATATGTTGTCTGCTGTTATGAACAAGTTTAAACTATTTTCCGATTTGCCATTGAAAGAAAGGAAAATCAGAAGGCCCATTGCTTGGTGAAGAGAATTTTTAATGAAATCGGCGCTGGGCTCAAAACGTTATCCACGAAAATCCCTCAGACGCCTTCGACAGAAAAGTGGGGTTTCAGGTGTCAGGCTTCAAGTTTACTGTATTTTCGAAAAAGAACCTTCAGGTGTGAGTGCGCATTGCATTTTCAACATCTGCTGTAATGCGGGCAAGTTCCTTTTGAGAGTGTGTCAGATTATAGCTTTGATGATTCGCGTGCGGAGGGAACCCGGGTGACTTGACCAGACGGAACGTACGCTACGCTGTTCCACCTGAGTGTCCAATTGATTTGCTGGAAGTTCTAAAATGATTGCACCATGTAAACACGTTTAGATGTTCCAGCAATAATTATACTACTAGAGCAGTACATGTACTGTACACGGTGAGAGAGACAGGGACTTGGGAGAAAACACTGACTGTTGACCCACCGACCCACGAACCAGTGATGTAGAAGATAATGTTCTCTTGCGTTGGAAATACGCCATCACACCAGAAAGTGAGAAAGTGCTCTCACAGTTAACCTTATCACACGTCAGGTCAGACGAGAAGTGAGGGCACCATGTTTGACTTATTTGCATAAGTCATGCAGGGAGGGACATCTAGGCGCCTATCTGAGCGCATAAATAGAAATGGCAACTTGCAGACGGACAGTTAGAAAAATGCACAAATCGCGCCCTTATTATAACACGACGCCAGGCGCCGGATGTCGCCGGCGAGTAGGTACAACTCTGGTTATATTCAGGAGGTCCCGCACCCAAATCTCGGCCCCAAGACCAGCTGCACTCTATTTGCGTGGTTTTCCTCAATCCCTCCAGGCACATGCTGAGATAGTACCTCAAACCACGATCACTTCGCTCCATATTTTCTATAACTCATTGTTCTCTGCTGGACGTTGTATAGCCCTTGCCACAAACGGTATAGTTACGTAAATGAAAGCCGCGCCATAGCTCAAGCGCTTAGTCGCTGGCTTCCTACCGCGACGGCCAGGATTCGATCCCGGTTCTAGTCAAGTTGGATTTGTGGTGGACAAAGTGGCGCTGGGGCAGGTTTTCTCCGAGTACTTCGGTTTCCCCTGCCAACCTTCATTCCACCAATTGCTCCACAATCACCCTCACCTATCATCTGGGGCTGGTACAATAGGCCAGAAGTGGCCGCAGTACAAGGGACTTAGTCCCACCCCACTAGCAATAAAAAAATACGTAAATGAAATAAACGTGTAAATAAATACACGATCCCAGGGACTTTTTATGTCGTCATACGAGTAGATATCCTACAGTTAATATCCTAAACCTCTGCAAGTTCGGTATCCAACCAGCAGCTGAGATTAAACATCTTGGTAATGCCGATAACTGGCTATCAGAGGAAAAAGGTAAAACCGTAATGAAACTAGCCTTCATTATCTGAAGTTCAAAATCCACACGAGTGGACCAAAGCGACCAGGCATGAGAACTCCATGTTTTCACGATAAGCCCCATTGCCTCTGCTGCTGAGAACAGAACCAATAAAACAACGATTTTTTTAAGGTTCGTGATAGTGATTGGTATGAGTATGACGTTATACTTTCGAAAGGGCTTAACTGAGTAGATGCTTTCCCTTTTTAGTCTTGATGACAGGAACGGACCATGTTTCCGAAACTTTATCAAATACGTAGTGTTCGTATAATCGTTTAAACATAAGAAAATGATAGTAAAGTCAATTTCAGGCAATCAAAACATGGATCCTCTAGAAATACGGACAGTAATAAATTCAAGGAACCCGTGCTGTGTAAGCATTTAATGTTTCCGAATATGGTAACACAAGTTTTCAGTTCCCGTGTTTGGATTCTGGTGGTGAGTCGAGAGCACGTGTGTAGCGTCAAGAGGGGTGTCCCGCATAGTAAGAGTACCCCTCAATTCGCGAAATCTAAACCTGGCAAGTCTCGACGTCCCGGCGAAGACCGGCTTCTTAACGACATTATCAATGAGTCCATTAAAACCTCGAGAATTCTGAAGGTTCAAATTCTGCGGTGGGCAACTGCTTTTTTGTTTGGGGCGCAGAGTCTGGTTGGAAGTATTCTATATTTAATTACCTATATTACAACCGTCGACACAACAGTGGGGGTATCTCCAATGAAGATAACAAATATTGGTACATATTTTTCTTGTTTAATGTAAACGTATTTTATTATTTTTATTGTAAGTGGGGTGAGACTAAGTCCCTTGTACTGCGGCCACTTCTGGCCTATTGTACCAGCCCGATGATAGGTGAGGGTGATTGTCGAGCAATTTGTGGAATGAAGATTAAAGGGGAAACCGAAGTACTCGGAGAAAACCTGCCCCAGCGCCACTTTGTCCACCACAAATCCCACTTGACCAGACCCGGGATCGAACCCGGGCCGCCGCGGTGGGAAGCCAGCGACTAACCGCTTGAGCTATGGCGCGGTCCTAATGAAACGTAAGTTGTGCTACATGTTTCGACCATACAGTTTACATTAAACAAGTAAAATATTTACCAACTTCTGTTGTCTTCATTGAAGATATCCCAGTTTTGTCTGTTGTGCCGACGGCTGAAATGTAAGTAATTAAACGCTATATACACAACAGGATGCAATCTACAAAGTTTAAGAATTCAATAGACGTACTTAAAAATTTGCTAAATATTCGTCAGTTTTGGGGACTGTACGTCGTTTATGCGTACAGATAACAAAAATAAGTTAGAAGGAATATTTTACAATCTGCTTCACGTTCTAAAAGCGTAAAGACACTCACAAAACCACACTCTTAGTGGGCTGCACGCGACTTATCATATCCATTTGCAGGTTCAATAAATGAAATTTATAAATATGTGTACAAGATACTCAAAAACATGAATTGAAGAAAATATAGAAGCTGTAGAAATTAAAACATTTTAATGAGACTATACGAGAACACCCATGGCCAGTGCAGATAATTCTAAATACGCCCAGAACTACACATCCCATTAATTAACGTAACTGTTCCAAATTTAATAATTTGCTTGCAAATTACCCGACTACACACAGGCATACCTTTGTGGACATTAGTAATATTATGACGTGAATTACTCGTAAGAATGTCAAATTGATAGCATACTCAAGAGTAACTTTTTCTGTAATTCTGCTCACGTTTTTAAAACAAACCCTTTCTTTTCGGGTTTGTAAAAATAAATGTGCCGTGAACTCTAAACACTAATTCAAAGTCCCCTCGGACGCTATGAAGGAACAGTGTTGCCAGATACAAAGCCTAGATACGCCTTTGTAGATAAGATTAAACTGAACTAGCAGCACTTGAAATGCTGCTACAGACTTTGTCCATCAAAACTGTTTTAAATAATTCAGCCTTTGACATACTTAGCTTTGCTAGCCGTGCCAGGTCTGTGTTGTTATTATTCTTACTGTTGTTGCACTATTTGAATGCTTATTGTTCGTGTCTATGTTTTATTTTGCCTCTTTCCTTGTTCTTGCTTTATAATTGGCCTTTGGACTGTTGAGTAAGCTCATAAGCAATTAAAGTATTGAACGGAATTACTATTATTGTTAACAAAATCTTTTAATATGTAGCAAAGTGAAAACATTAAGAGCGTATTAAACTCGGGGATCGTGCTCGGAATGTTTTTGCCTTCGCGTCTGTTACCTCAAATTGTAAATCAGATACAGAGAACTGTAATTTAAAGTGTCGTTTTGTAAGCACGCAGGACCTCGTCGCTTGTCGCACGCAGAACGGAGGATTCCCAGGACCGCGACTAAGAAGAGTGCGACCTTCTGAGTTGTAACGCCATACAGTTTGGTAGAATTTCACCGACATTTCAGAGGAACGTATAGCCTGATTATTGCTGGTTTACTGCTTGGCTTATGGAGCCGACGCGTTCCTCCGTAAAGTCGGCCAACCTCTACTGAACTACACGGCATTACATCCCACAAGAGGATACGTTTCATATATAAAGTATAGAATGCACCGTGTACACAACAACACTCAGCATTCAAAACAAAGAAGACACTACTGCGTCAACATTTGCTTGTATTATGTTTATTAGAGACGCAACATGTTTCGACCCTTTCACGGGTCATCATCAGGCGTCTGAGCTGTTGAGTTGCAATCATACGTTTCAT